TTAGACATTGAATCGATGATAGCCGTAGTGATGGCCTATCCATCCATCCATACACTCAAACTATAGTCAGAGGCAATGCTTATTCTTATAGTTGTCTCATATATATTGAACAAAGTGTTAGTGAATATAAAACATGTGATGAGATGTGATGAGCACTGAATCAAACGTAACTCATTTCAACATATATTTCATAGTCGTCTATGACTTAAGTTTTTAGAGCAAAATACTAATCGATAGCTCGCTTTTAACCCAAACTTCAAGCTTACAAACACTACTAACTATTGCCTCATTTCACACATACTCTCTAATCTTGATTTAGTAAATGTATTATACACTATGTTATTGGATTATATTGTATATATTATATACATTGAGTATATTATATACATGTTTATGTTATATATGTTTAATAGTATTAACAATACAATGCATCGATATATTATAGTTAGTCATATTTTATAATTAATTAATTAAATAAAAATATTTTAAAGTAATTTAGTAATAATAATAATAACAGTTAAAAATTTATAATTATTTTATGATATAATAGTGTATAAATTAATATCTTAAATATATAAATAAATTTATTTTAATTTTTGTTATCTTATATTTTGTTATACAAACTAAATTATATATATAATTTATTTATAATTTACGGGTGTATTTTTTCAATAATTTATTTATGTACATTTATTATGCAATGTTTGAAATACATAATTTAAAAATGAAGTTAAAAATGGCTGAAATTATAATTATTTAAAAATAATCAAATTTAGCAATAAATACTAACTTATTTATAAACATATTATATATTTTTTGGCTAAAAAAATAAATTTCACAAAATTATTAATATAAAATTATATAATATATTTTATTTTATTATAATTTTTAAATTTGTAACAAATTATGTCTATTGTAAAATTTTTACACTTTATTGTTTTTATATAAATAAAAATATTAATAACTAACTTAATTAATAAAATACTAATAAAACTTTTGTATAAAAATAATTGTATAATATAATGCATTGTATGTTATTTTTAGCGTAAATATCAAAGACAATATATATATATATATATATAATAATATAACATTTATTATACTAAATAATTTTTTATTTAGAAAATTGCTTACAATAATAGTTTTATATAATTTATTGTATTATAAAAGATAAATTTAGCAAAATCAATAATGTATTTTAGATTACATTGAAAAATGAAATTAAAATAGTTTTTGTATAAAAATGACTTTTAAAAGATTTTAAAAGTTTAAATCTTAAACAAAGTATTTGTTATTTTATAATCTAAAAATGCTATCAAAGGGTTGGACTTAATTTGGAAAATTATTTCAGTATGAGATGTGTGTCAACACTTAATTAGATTTTTAAACCTCTCTCTCTCTCTCTCTCTCTCTCTCTCTCTCTCTCTCTCTCTCTCTCTCTCTCTCTCTCTCTCTCTCTCTCTCTAACTCACTCACCCACTTATTTCTCTCTAATTTTCATTGATTTTGAAATAACTCATTCATTGAACTTTTTATCAGCAAATCAATCGTCAAAATACATTAAATAGAAAAAATAAAAGTATTTTTAGTTAGTTTTTGATTGAACTCATAGGAAAATAAACGTTTATTAGCACTTCAGATATAATAGTAATTAGTTGTCACAAATATTTATATTTAAACTCCTTATTAGTTAATTACTATCATAATTATGACTATAATTAAGTTTTGTATTATAAATACATAAGTTTTATACAGTTTTATTAATAGAATAAGTTGTTTAATTTCTTTAATGTATTAATTGCTTAAAAAATATTGCAATTTTAATTAAATTAATTAATTAATTGATAAATATAATAAAACTACTAAATAATTTAAGTAAAACAATATAATTTTGTAAATAATTTTAAATATAACAAAAAATTCAAAATATAACATAATATATATATTTTTTTAAAAGTCCGTATAATATATAATAGTATAAAATCTCCACAACTCTTGCCTTATCCTATAAAACTATATTTATTTTTTCAGTCAAACATTTTATATAACATCAACTTTCGTTTTGCTAACAGAGCTCATAAGCTGTTTTTAAATATTATTGTTTTAAAAACCACATGAAATGCATATAAATTTAAATCTCAAAATATTTATATCGTACATAAAACTGATGGCAATGTTATGTACAATATATAAGATGATTTGGTTTTCACTATAAAGTTATACTGTATACTATAACTATACAGTGTATAGCATAACTTTATATAAGTCTATATAGTATATACTATATACCATTATGTTTATCAGATATATATATATATTTTTTTTGTTTTATTCATACCCTAAATTTTGAAAATTATTTCTTGTCTTATATTTTTATTATTTAAATAATAATTTTATATTCATTTTACTAAAATGAACAAAAATAATATTGTCATTAAAGCAACTAAAACTGTTTTTTCAGGGTTTCAATGACATTGAAAATCTAAATTATTTAATAAAAAAACATTTTTATTTTTAAATTTATACAGCTAACAATAATAGTAGGGATATAACTCTAAGATTTATTGCAATTATATAAAGTTAAAGTATCATTTATCAGTATGTTTTTTTGTATAATAAAAAAGTCTACTTAAACTAATACCCCGACTATTATTGTTATTAATATAAAATAAAAGTGAAAATGTTTTTAGCAAATAATTTAGAGTTTTAATGTCCTTCAAACATCGTAACAAAGTTCTAACTATTTTAATAAAAAATGCTATTTTTACTCATTTATCTTTCAATATATTTTACAATCTCTCTCTCTCTCTCTCTCTCTCTCTCTCTCTCTCTCTCTTTGCTATTTCACTTTTATAAAACTGTTTTTCTTTCTCTATGTTTATTTCAATATCAAATGATTTTTGTAGTACAAAAATAACTTATAATTTAATTTGATTGTAAAGTAACTTAAATCCAATAAATGTCAGAACAATTTGACTCATAAACCAAACTGAAAATGTTTATTGATTTACAATAATATTGAAAAAATTATTATAAAAAATCAACGATAAAAAGTAAAAAATAAGTTCAGACAAAAATCGATTGCTTTTTTATATACAGTTTATAGACAGTATTTTATATAACATATCAAATATAAGAAAATAATAATATATTTTTCTATATAAATATATGTCTACTATATATATGATATCATTGTTTTATCATTTATATATTAGGCAAAAAGATAAAATTTTTATAATAAGCTGTAATAAATAATATTTAATTTTTTCATATTATCATATTACGGTTATAAACGTTAATGTAGTGATAACAAATAAATGTTAACAAAATAAACATTTAACACAAAAAATTGAATGCATAAAAAATAATTTAAACACAAAAATTAATTAAATTAATTATATACAATTTTTAGTTAATTAATTGCTTGTATTTTATTATTTATATTTGATTCCAAAGTGAAGCCAAAAGTTTTTATAATAGAAAAATAGGAAATAAAATTAACTCAAATTTGTAGATTTTGGTTATAATTGTGTGTATATTTTAAGTACACAAAAGCTCATCAATCTTAGGACACAAATGATACAATAATTGAGAGTAAATGAATGTAAAGTAAAATTGATTACATTTGTGTTACATACCAATCAATCAATATATCTTAAAAATAGACACAATAAATGCGATTAAATTTTTTATCTAATGCATGAATTTAGATCTTAGCTATAACTTATTACCTTAAAAATATATATACAATAAACTAAAATAACTAATTATATATTATAAATAGTATTTATAGTGTTGTTAATAATATCAAAATATTGCATTTAATTGTTATTTAAATATACATATTAAGGAAATGTTAAATAAATTTAAGGCACCAATAGATTGGTTGCAATCAGTGATAATATGTCTGTATTGCTGTCAATATGTTATATAAGTAATGCCAGAAAGTGGTATTCAAAGCGCAATGATTTTCAACAGTTATTTGTTGTGTGTTTAGTGAAAACAGATATTAACATTGCTATGTCATCGATGGCTAACTCTGTGAATATTTTTTTCAAAGAAAATCACTGATTAAATACAAAGTAAATGCACTTTCATTGCATTTAATGAGGTTTTTATTTAACACACACAGACACAAACACACAGACACACACACATAGACACACACACACACACACACACACACACACACACACACACACACATAGACATGCATGCAATTACTATTTGAAATAAATAAATAGTTTAATGCCTTTTCGTGAAACAAGCTTTTGCTGAGTCTTTTACCACACAGTAGTGTCTGGTCTTTGAACATATGATTCCTCAAATCTATTGGTTTAATAGTCTTTGAATTATTTAAATTGCAAACAAACCACTACTCGAGCAAATAATCTCATGTCATAAACACTCTATAACTTAATATCACGACATTCAGGTATACATTCAAACTTATGTTTTGTTATAATAATATATTAATAAATTGCATGAAAATATAAATCAATTTGATATACATTTGACCTGAATAGCCTAATTTAAGGACCATTCATAATATGTAAATTAATATTTTACTAAAATACCATTTAAAACGTGTTTTGTTTTCTTAAATAGCTTATTTGCTTTTAGATTATGTTTTTGTTGCAAAATATAGTATACTTATAACATTATTTACTAAACTCATGAATTGATACAAAAGCTTTAATCAATACAATATATGAAAAAATAGTATACAATACAAGTATATAAGAGAAAGTTTAGTAATAATAAAATATAGCAATAGTGTAATAATAACAGAGTTATATTATAGACATTTGTTTGACGAGAAAATGAATTATATTTTCTTGAATTGAGATTAGTTTCTCTCGTAAAGCGAAAATCGGGAAAACAAATGGACACACATTTGCTTGCAGTGCAATATAATATATATATATATTGTATATACAGTGCAATACATTTATATATAGCATTGAATTGATTATTGAAAAACGTTTGTCTTAACTAACCTCAAGCCATAATTCCTGTCTGTATTGTTGAGTGAGTGATAAGAAAGGCAAAGAAGTGGTCTCAGCAATGATATCGGCGTAAAAACTTCGCGGTTCGCTCACCAAAGACAATATGACTGAAGGGTTATGAACTTCAAGTGCTTCACACAGTGAAGACATAATCCTTTGTGAGTCATTGGTGACGGCAATCGGCGATACAAACATTGATATATCGGAAACACTGATTGCAGGCATATTATTACTTGTAGTCAATAAAGCCGAGTGTTTGGTCACTTCCCATTCGGCCAGTGCTCGGCGTAGTTCACGTGATATTTGTGGCGCCTCTTCTTCAGGTAAAATGGCTAATATTTGAAACGGTGGGTAACGGTTGCCATTGGTATGAATGCATATCCAAGATGTGATTAATATTAATAAAACTATACGACTTGTTAGGAACTGTTGTGTCGATATAAATATAGATTCCCTCGACATTGTTGTCGCTGTTTATTGTCTTTATTATTGTTGTGCTGTTTCTGGTACTCAATCAGCTGAAGACAAACTATTAGTATTTGGCTTTCAATACATTTATTGTGAAAATTAAATTTACTGATATTTCGTTGTAGTGACCAAAACTGTTGTAACACACGTTGCAAATAATAAATATTGCAAACATTTATCAATATTTTTATAAATAATAATAATAATAATAAAAGATATATTGATGTAAATGAATGAAATAATATATAAGTTAAGGATTGTTGGCTACAAATACCAGAAAAGCGCCGATTGGTGGGCGCGCTCTCCATAAGCAAGAGTTAACTGCCGGTCCAGTCATGCGAATGATGTTTAATCGACACAAACAAAGAGTATATCAGAGATGAGATCTCTTTCATAGATCACACATATAGACCATCACTCGTCTGTTTAAGTTATATCTACTTACAAGTCTTTATGTGATTTTTATTATATTTTGCTTACTTTAAAACAATTTTTAGTTTTTTACTTATTTTTCCTCCTTTTTTGTCAAATATTTTTTTTTGTATTATATAATATAAAAAACATGATTTCTTTCCTTTATCTTTGTGTTACTTCTTCTTGTGTTTAACATCAGCACCAACAACAACAACAACAACAACAACAACAACAACAACAACAACAACAAATAGAGATGAAAATAAAAATGATTTAATATTTGCTACAAAAATAAAAATAAAATATTTTTTTAGAGTTAACTTCTAATATATATATATATATATATATTGTGGTGTTTGTTTGGAATGTATATATATATGTGTATATATACAGTATATATTTGTATATATATGTGTGTGTGTATTAATATTAATAATAAAATGTTATATAATTGTTATTGTCATTCAATAGATTAGATAAAAAGCAAACACAATATAGACGTTAATATTATATATCTATATAATTACTGTATATATTATATGTTATATCTAATGATGAGACAAATGTTTGATTGAATCGTTAAGTTTACTGAAAATGGTTGTGTAATATAAATATAAATTATTTCGAATATTAATAACATATATATATATATATGATATAACATGAGATGTAAAACCTAAAGAAAACTAAGTGTACAAATAAATGTCTTTTTGGACAAATAAATGTTGTCATAAATAGTAAATTGTGTAATATATAATAATTTATGATTATTTTTATATTTAATACTAATATATATATAATATATATAGCTATTTCAATAAACCTATGCTTTAATAGAATATAATCTAAGATACTTTATGTAAATTATTGGTTCATTGGTAATCATAATTTCAATTTTATACAGTATTTATATTTATAATTATTATTGTTATTATAATATACTAAATAATTATAAAAAATTTAATTAAATAACAAATGTAATAATCTTATTAATGCTTATCTAAATTATAGGTAAGATTATTTTATTGTTAATCATTGTTAATAATTCAAATTTAAATAAATTATATTTGATACTATTAAAAACTATACATACGCTAAGTTAGTTAAGAAAATTATTTAATAGTTATATTTGGAGTTTTATATTAATATTAATTACATTTTGTTGTTTTAAAGAAATATTAGTGTAATGATGAAAGTAGAGGCACTTCTTTAACAATGTAACAGAAAAATAAAGAAAACAACAAATTTCTGATGTATTAAACTAAAGAGTCGGAAATGAATAGGAGAGCAAAAAAATAAAAGAAAAACTAAAAATAAAAGGAAATAATATAAAAACCAACAAATAATAAAAGGCTGAGAAATGGTAGAGAAATTGGAGAAAGAGTTTCACATAATGTTATGCACTGACGAGCACTGCATTTGTGAGGAGTCGGTTCCACTTCTGGAGATCACTGCACAGGGATGTGAGGAACCACTCACTCTCACAGATATTAAAACTTTGTGTTTCTCTTTAAAAAATGAGTTGTTGTCAACTGACAATACAATTGGAAAGAAAAATGTTTCGGTTATATATTAATCAAATATTTTATTATTATTATAGTATTAATAACAGTATTGCCAGTTGTTGTTGATATTATTTAGTGATGTATTTTATTTTGTTTTTGACGCAAACAGTTAGAGTGTACTCTATTTTTTTAATTTTATTTACTTATTTGTTTAAAGTTTATTTATCACAACTTTGACTTTTAAATTGCTTTTTACAGCAAAATTTAATAATTATCAAATTTAAAACACGAGTGTCTTATCTGTGGTGAAGTAGTTTTTCAAAGTCTAAGAAAATATAAGAGATTTCAGTTAAAGCCGATTTCAATGATGACACTTCATATTGCGGTTATTGTTTAAAACATGTTATCAACAACTTTATGTATACAAACATTATACCGATATGTATTGTATAAATAAATATAGATATACTGTATATTACAACACATTTTAGATATCGAAATAATCGGTGAGAGTTTAACTAACAGTTGTTAATACATTAATAGTACTTATGGTTTATATGTTTTGTATTGAATAGCATTTGAGTGTTATCTGCAATTCACAGCACAAACCAAAGTCTTCAAAAAGTCTTTTGAATGAGAGATCGGCGCAGAGTTAACACAGAGTCAACTGAATCTGAAAAAGTTTTGACCGACTCTACGATTGAACGACTCTCTCATCCACTGCATTGCAAAATCCATTTCACAGCCCTTCCACAGCTCGTCCGGCGCCGACTCTCTTATTCATGATTTATATATATATATATATATATATATATATATATATATACAATATATGTATATACTGTAAATATATATATATAAAACTATTGGCACTGATTTTATATTAAAATGTGTTTTACAGAATCCAAATTAATCAATATCTGTTTTATACAACTATTCAATTTAACAAAATTATTATTATGAATAATATAAGTATAACTCATAGAAATATAACATTGGTTTAAGAAAATAAATGTGTGATTAACCTCAAAACTACACAAATTAAAGCAAATCTAATTAAATTGAATTATCCATTAAAACTTATTAAATATAAAAATTATGATAGTTTTCATAATTTCATCTATTCAATTTGAAAAAATTAATATAAAATATCAAATTTGCAATACTGTAAATAAAAAATTATAATATACTGTAGTTAAATCGTAATTTAAATGTTGTTTATTATTTTAATATTGTTTTATTGGATATTTAATGCCTAAAGAAAATTTGAAATTATTGAATAAATTTTTTAAATGATATAATATAAATTTACATGACATGTAATTTCTTTTTATTTAATTATTATACTGAGAAAATAGTTTATCTATAATAACTTAAAATCTAAAGCAAATACTAAATAAGTTTTACTTAATTTAATCAAATTTGTTATAATTTATTTAATTTTATATATAAAGCATATCTCTTCTCTAACATACTTCGACTAATACAACTCACACATATCATAGACCAATAGATCAATTGTTTAAATTACTTTTATTATAAAACCAGTTGCAATAGTTTTGCTACAGATTTTATATATATTAGGAACATATATGTAGCCAAACAGTGAGCTCTGTCTATATGAGAGTATCTGCAGTTTTGAATCAAGAATTTTAACCGACATAAGAGATGCCATAAACAGTGCTATAACTCTGATATACAACACTAGCACTGGTAGTAGTAGTAGTAGTAGTAGTGGTAGTAGTAGTAGTAGTAGTAGTAATAGTAGTTATACTAATACTGCAACTGTAGACACATTCAAAATATTTTCCATACTTATACACAATACAATCGATCCAATTCTTAAACAATTATTTTTATATACTATTTTATACTACTTTTAATGCATTACTTACTATTGTATAATATGTGTTGTCTTAATAAAAATCTGTTTTAACACATCATCTTTTTTTTGTTTAAATCTTATTATAAGTTTGTCAAAACTTATTGACATTCATTTATTAGTTTATCAACAAAAAAAATTAATCAAAATACAGATATATAGTATATATTGTATAGTATACAATATATGTCAAATTTATATCTACATAATACAGTTTATATACTGTACAGTATATACTATTATATATACTGTATTAATCCTAGTTAGACTAATATTTTACTTCAAATTAAAAAAATATGTATCGCAAAAATTGTTTATTTATTGAAAAGTTAGTTGTTTTATATAATGTATGCTTTGCTGTATTTTTTACATAATCGCAGATTGCAATATATGCCACATAAACATAATATTATATATAAGCATAAAAATTAATGATATTTTTGTTTCTAATGTTTTCAATAAATGAATGGATAACTCATTAGTGATAATGATATCGAAATCCTTTTTTAAAATATCATATCTTTATTTATAATAAAAAATAAATCAATATTTCATTGTTTAATAATATGAATATAAAGTATAATGAATGTGTATTTAGTATAATAATAGATAATAGTATTTTATCAGTTTTTTTTATCAATTTATCACAATTTTACTCAAAAAACTAAAATTGTCTAAATTTAATTTTAATTTAAAAAATTTTGATCAAAAAATCGAAATGATTCAATTGAAGTATATTTCTATAATTTTTTTTATTACTATTCGTTTAAAACGTAAAATATTAAATTTTATTTCAATAAATAGATGAAAGAGTTATTTTAATAATATTATGTCTCACTTAAAGTTTTTGTTTTATTATTTTTACAACATTGGCGCCAACTTTATAAATAAATTGAAAACAATTTATATACTGTAGTTAGTCTATTGTGTCAAAAACACTTTTGATATTTTTAAAAATAAAATTATAATTTTTTATTTTAAATAACGTTATTACTAATAAATATAATATAGATTTTTTTAATTGTCAGTTTATTATTTAAGCCTATTTTAATGTGTTAGAGTTTGACAATATTTATAATAAATATTATTTTAACTAAAAATACAATTTTTAATTTTTAAATAAATCATTAATTATTTTTAAAATAATCAATAATATCATTAATAATTATTTTAGTTATATAAATTTAAAAAATAATTTACTCATATAACAAAATTTGTTTTGTTTTTGAAATCACTAAAATTAAAATTATATTTAATTTTCTAGTCATTAATATTTTTTAATATTTTACTTATAACTAATATGTTATAATAAATAAAAAACGTAATAAATTCTAATACTATTATAATATGTTACTTTTAAATCTATCTTTATATATAATGTCAATTTAAAATTAATTATAAATATTTCAGTCTAAAATATATTTAATATACATAAAAGTAATTTAATATATAATTTTATTATACTGTTCTTAAAACTATTGCTATTTTTAATTTAAAAATTAAAATCTCAATGTATTTTTTGGCCATTAAATAAAGTCATGAATAGTTGTTGACTTAAAAAATATATTTTATGTTTTAGTTATGACATTAAAATAGATTTGAGATCTTCTACTAAATGATATAAACATTTGTGTTTCTCGTTATTGAATATATTGTGCAAAATATAATATATAAGGAAATGGAGCACAAAAATGATTTGTTTTTATTTCCAACAATTTTCTCACACTTTTTCAAATAATGCATTTTTTTGTCCAAATTTGCTCCATTTGGTTGTATTTATATTGTTTTATACATTCAATCATTTGTTATGCGGAATATATTTTTTATATATTTTGTATATATTTCTATTGCAATTTGTTTAGGATTATAATTTATATTTTTACCATATAATACATTCTATAAATTATTTGATAAACGTTATTTAAATAATTATTAAAATCTATTATTACAAAAAATAATAATAAATAATACTTTAAAATACAAAATTAATTACAATTATCATAGATTTTATTAATTATGATAGATAATATTTATTATATTTATACATATTAAGATATAGTAATGCAAATTATTAAATTAATTTTTATCTAAAATTAATTTTATTTATATTTAATACATATCTAATAATACTTAAATAAAATAAATAAAAGATGTATAAAAATACTTTAAATTAATGATTTCAATATTGTTTATCGTTTAAAATTGAAATGAGAGCACAAACTATGTCTAACGTAAAAATAAATTGAATATATATTATATATATTGATGTTTTTATTCATTTTTTAAACTGTTTTATGAATCAAAAAGTTCTTTAAAAAAATAAATAAAAATGTTTTTATATAAATATGCTGAATATAATGACACAAAAAATTCAAATACAGTGATAATAAATTAATTGTCTATTTTGATATAATTATATATAATTTATATAATTATTAAATCATATTATTAGATAAAAAATAAATAATAATTTTTGAAAAAAATATTGAATAATTAATATCATTTCAATCAGAAAATACATTTTCAGCCAAATCATTGTTTAAAAGTAATATAGTGTTGAATATTTTTTTTAATGTCTGGCGCGACAAACATATTAGTTGGTAACCATACTTATTATTAGTGTCTTGATTTTCAACTAAAAAAATTATTTTGTCGGTTTAACGCTTATAACTGGGACTTAGTATGTCCACCTAACTTGACCAGTGGACGCTATTTCCGAAATTTTATTATAACTATAAATAACTATTTGTTAGGTTAGCAACTATAAAAACTTATAAATAACTATTTCAGTTATTTTGAAAAATATAAGCATTAGATTGTAAAATATTGCTCAAATATATCTAAAAACAAAAAGTAATAGTTATATAAATTATATAAAATGTGTAAACTGTTATCAACTCATATTACTTTTTTAACAATTGAAATAATTAGTTTATTTATATAAATCATTTTTGTAAATATGCTGAAAACAAGTGAATTATATATCAGTTGAAATATTTATAAGAAAATAAATAACTATTTCAATAAATATTTGGCTTTTTTGGCAATTATATACAACTATTTAATACAGTTTAAATAACTATTTTAACAACTATTTGACGTTTTTTGGCAACTATTATAACAACTATTTAATAGAGTATAAAAAATTATTAATCAATACACTACTTATTATGAAAACCAATATCTATTAGACCAATCTATATAGAAATAACAGTATTGTTGCTAATTATGTTAACTTATTTTTTAGTTAAGCTAAATAACTAGAAAAATACAAAATATGCCGATCAATAGATGATTTTTATGTTAAATATATTTTTTTATATAAATAACATAATTATACAGATATTCAACTAATAATTTTATTTTATAAAAGATATGATAAATTTAAAAAAATCGATTTACGCTTTATAATAGTTATAAAATAAAGCTTTACTGTATTACATGTCATTAATTTTATATTATAACAACATATTTTTCGAAAAATATAATATGTTTTATAAGTATATTTCTTAATGAATTTTAATAAATATATTTAACTAAATAAATCAAATCTATAACAATATAAATAATCATTATAATAATAATTTTAAACTATAACAAAAATATAATGATATTTTATAAAAATTATAATCAATTTTTCAATTAATTTATAAACAATTAAATGATGCTTGGTTAATTTAAGTGACACATAAACTCAGTTGCATTTATCAGATGATATAATGACCTAAAATGTGAATTGTAATCATCAAACCCATAATAACATGTATTGTTTGCTTTATATATAATAATTGAGAGTATTATTAGAATTATTATTCTGAGTAATGAAGTCTCTCAAGCATTAAGTAAAGACAAATTAATTTGTTTGCAAAACATATAATGTTTATATAGTGGTGACTAAATAGACATCAATTAAATAACTAAACCATATTATTAAAAATAAATTACAAATATGAAAATTTTTATTTTTCAACTTATAATAGTTTTGTTTATAATATCAAATAATTTAAATCAATATAAGATCCATAATACTAAATTAAGATTCAACCATATTTTAACATAAAAACAAACAATAATTAATTAAGTTACAATATATGGCAAATTATTAATATTAAAAAATAATTAATATAAATCATAACAATTTAAATATTATTGTTTTAAGTAATATTAAAATGTATACTTAAATGATATGATTATAAAATTAACAAAAAATAATAATATAAATAAAATAACATTTAATTATAAATAAAAATTAAATTAATGACTAAATCATTATTATAATTAAGACGAGGACTTATTATTGCTTTGAATAAATGTTATGTAAGAATAAACAAGTGATCCAATCATAGATATGTTAAGACCAATAAAATTAGTCATTGAAAACACATAATCGCCTCCGATATACATTCCAATGTATGTAACGAATATATTCTGCAATAAAATGTAAATTATTATAAATAAAATAAAAAGCAACAAATTATATCAATTATGATTTAGCAATACCTTTAGACAACCGACAATAGTAGTGGTTAGCGCTGAGTTAAATGCGGTACACAATACAGTTGAATACATTAGTATAAATCCCATTACACACGAAAAAATAAATGATATTAAAAATCCAAAATCAAGCCAATCGTTAAATTCATTGAAGGCCCGGTTGAAGTCACCAATAGTCCAGATCATCAATATTAATGGTATTATCATAAATAGCGAATTATAATATAGAAGACCATACTTTCCCAATTCCTATAAAATATATTAAATCTATTTTATTGCTTATTTAAGTAAATTCAGTTTAATCTTATCATTTATCAATTTAATTTATCATTAGCATAAATATATTTATATACTCGTAAAATTAAATCTCTCATTAAAAAAAGTAATACTTTAATGTTAAATTAATAATACTAATTTTTACAGTTTATTAATTTATTATTTTTGCATATTTCTAATCTGAATTATAATAAAAATAAAAAATAATACAAAGTAATAAATATATTCAAAAATGTGTTATATAAAATCATGTTTGATAAAGTAAAATAAAAATAAATATATTTTTAATAGTGTTTGTTGACCAGTGATATTTGACATATTGGAGTAAATATTAAAGTATATAACATTGTTTCATATCTTGATTTCATAATTTGTTTCAATTATATAATTAACTATTAGAATATAATTCTACTAAAAAAAATTATTAGCGACATTATTTAGTTGAATGATTATTTAAAAAGTATTAAAAACATTATATTTGATAATAATAAAAACTTTATTATTACATTTTTCACTAGAAGTCAAATATTGATATATAAATATAGAAAACGGTAGTAAAAATTACAAATAAAATTGTTTGTCATTTTATGACTTAAAACATACTCTGGAGTCGAGTTTCTGTTTGATATACACTCCATTGGCAGCCGTGAAGACATCGTTGCCTAAAACAAATGCATATCCTTTGGCATCAAATGCCATATCATTGCTATAAAATGAGAAAAGCAATACAAGAAAATGTCATTTTTTATTATTATTGCATAACATGTATACCTGGCAGCGATTATAGCTCCGCCAACCATCGCTATGACGGTCATTACAATTGTATTACTTTGTACAACACTGACACATACATATAACAAATAAAAAAAGTACAATCGATTAAATCATTATATATTAGTTGATAATTGATTATTTCAAGTGTGAGATTCCAACCCAATGAATGACCCATTCAGTGATAAATTAGTTTTCATAATAATATATAATAGTATTTGCTTTCATTAATATAAATGATATGATATAGGATTGACTCACTTAAGGACATAATACTCTCCAATAAGAGTCATGAGAATCGTAAATCTCCGCAAAACTGTAAACATTGGAAGACTCAGGTGTTTAGTGCCGCCTAAACCACAAACCAGATTACCCATGTATAACATAGGTAGGGGCCATATCTACCGTTCCATATAATTAGTAAAATACAAATTTAATACTTCACATATAAATCATAAACAGATATATTCTTAACATTTCTCAACGTAGTTGTAAATTATATTATAATATATATATTTACTATAAATCTAATAATATATTATTATTACATTATTAAATTATACTTAAAAATAAATTAATTTCTTAAAATTATTTAAAACAAATACTTTTTATATATTAAAATGCAATAATGACTTACTTTAAATGGTATATCACGTGAATAATTGGGAAAATTTATAATATTCAAAGATTTTCCTATAAATAAAATTATTATTGTGGCCAACATTTGTCCCAATCCTAAAATATGTGATGATGGAAACCTGTATTTTAAATATTATTTTTAGTTAAAAAAATATATATTTTTTAAATAATAAAATTACAATAACTGTGATAATAATGTCTGTGTGTAAATTTAATTAATATATATCTAATACTAACATATCAAGAATAAATTAATAATTTCAATTTTTTGTCATTTTCAAGTCAAATAAAAAACATTTTTTCATAAATATGTTTTAACTTAAGTAATTTATAATATAAATAGTATAATTTGATCAGAAATGTTTTTAATATATCAATATATGACAATTTTTATCAATACTTCATTATTATTTTATAAATAAATCATAAATATCGTGAGTTTTTAGCATTTATTCATCATAAAAAATACTTATATTCAAAATATTTTATAAACTTATATTTTAGACAAATAATTCAATATATAAATATAAATTACATTATTAACATAATAACAATAATTAATTACATTTTAATATATTAAAAATAAAATTTTCTGATATACTATAAAAGTATCTATCAATCTATTAATCAATCAATCAATAATATTCTTATATAAAATGCAATGGAATATAAATGCTTAAATAATTTGTAAATATATTTATTATTTATTTATTTATAACAAAATAATAAATTATTAATATAAAAATGTTTAAAATTTTGCAAGTTTTTAAAAGTTAACAACATCTAAATAATTAAATGATAAAAATAATAAAATTCATCTATCTCCAATTTTGATTATAATCGTACAATTTTAAATTTAAATTATTTAATAAACAATTCTAGAAAAACATAAAATTAATGATAGATTACGGGTAACTAAAAATGAATATTTTTGATAAATGACACGAAATGTCTATTTAAAAAATATATTTATTCAAAAATTATGATTTATTATATAATTTAGTTATTTTCATATTTAAATGTTGTTAATTTTAATTATATATTTTTAATTTAATATTAAATGTAGTAGTACTGTATAGATGATATACAGTATACTATAAAATAAAAAATTTCAAAAAAGATAATTCTATAATAACAATATGTATTTAATTAATTTATAATATTAATATAAATAATTATTATGAGAACAAACAATAAACACATGTTTTAAAAATATTGATTTTATGATTAAAATTGTTAAAGAAAAAATAATTATAATATCATAAGCACAATATATCAGTTGTAGTTAAATAAAATTTTTAAAAAAAATATATTCGTGTGATATAACAGCATAACAGCAAAAATTAATGTAAAGAATTAATCACATTATGAACAACTGTTTACAGATTTTACTCAAATTTTAATCTCAGATAAAGAGATGTAAATCATAGAGTTTGATGTAATAATTATTATTTAAAAATAGGAATTAAAGTTTTGATTATCTAAATTTTAAAATTTTATAACTACTACTTGCTATAACTATAATTGCTAATTTTCATATATACCGGTATTATAGTAGAATAGCGATACCATAATAAATAATCAATGATTATTTATAGGGTTATCATTAAAGTATTGATTAATAATTATTAAAACTCTATAAAAAGCCAGATAGTTATTGAAAAAGTTATTATTTTTTAATATTTGCAAATAATTACATCATTTTTGATTAGATTGGATGATAAAAAATATTTTAATTTTTTCTTCAAATTTCAGGCGTTTATAACTTAAAATATTTTTTTTTAGAAATCAAGACACTAGTTATTCCCCTACATTAAGCAAAAGAATAATAAAATTATTTTTAATTATTTTACAAATAATTTAAGTAAAATTATTAAAACGTAATTAACTTTTTTTATTTAGTAATATTTCAAATTTTATAGAGTTTAACTGTAATTTTAAAGATATTAAGCATCCCTGAGCTTACATCAATGCATTGCATTACATCAGCAAACAACTATCATTGCATAAGTAAAATCCATAGTTGAAACAATAATTTTTTACATTACTTATACCTTACTATTTCTTATAGATTTATCTTAAAAAATTATATAATAAATTACATATACAGATATGAATTTTACTATAATATAGATTTACATTATATACAAAATTAAGATTTTAATCATTCAATATGTAAGGAGTTATTTATTAATAGCTATTAAAGAGTGAATAGAAATGCATTCATAAAATACCAGTGAATAACATATGAGATGACATGTCATCAAAAGTGATGACAGACTGTGTTTGTGTTATATTCATGTCATTTATTTTATATCATTTTCCTAAATGTTTGATTCAAAATATGGTTCACACAACATATTACTAATTAAAATAAAAATATACTTTTATATTATATCAACCAATATTATATTTTGTATTTAATATTATTCGTACATTTTTAATGTAAAATATAATTAGTTGTTAAATTATAAAACTAATAACAAATCCGTTAAAATAGTAGATATTTCCAAATAATATCATATCTTTCATGTCATAAAACTATAAACTATTATAAAACTAATAAAAAATTTCCACACAATTAAACTTATAACTATAAACATATAAATTATATTGTAGTGCATTATAATAAATGTTAGTAAATTTTACTTAAATATAAAACTGTTTATAAGTAATCGTTAAAATTTATGATTCAATGCAACATTTGTTACAAGATTATTATTATTGATAATAATCAAATAAACCCATATAATCAATACACTGTTAAGCTTTTGTGGATATCTAACCCTAAAATATGATTTATTAATTGATAAATCATTAAATCTCTTATAATATTCTTATTAAAAAATTCAGTTAAATAACTATTTATATCAATATGAAAAATAACTTTATATTATATACGTTATACAATAATAAATAAATTTTGTAAACATTTTTATACATTAATTGGATAGTTGTTTACTAGTTTATAAATTTCTAATTTTTATAGTTTTTTTTAAGTTATTTTATAAATTATTTAGAAAAGTGTTTATGTATTAAAATATATTTCGACACTAAACGCTTATTATGATATAATACAAATATATTAAACACTTAATACTAATTTTAAAAATACTAATAAATTATTATCATATGTTTAAAAATTGCAAACACAGTTTACTTTACACAAATCATTTTTTTAATCAATAGTAAAATATGTTATATTTTATTATTAACAGTAAATCACTTAAAATAATACCTGTAGTCACCTGTGTTATAGTTATGTTAACTAACAATTGATTGACATGTAATTATAAGCACTGGTATGTAATACTATAATATAATCAATGGATACATACCTATAGTTAGTGAGCACTACTTTGTTGATAACGATTATGAGAAACGAAGAAATGGCATAAAAAAGAGCCGAAAGGATGCGCTTAAGGATGAGTTGTCGGCGCGACTCAAATGTTGTCTGCATTTCTAAACCATCGGATTTGTCTAACTTGACATACACTACATCACTGTCACCACCGACTGTCTGTCCATTGCCTGTCCCAACCTTAACCAGTAATAAAGACATTGTCATCATATGGTTATAAAGACATTATTGTCATCTCATTGCTTGACATCAATGACACAAACCATGATTTTGTTATTTAATCAAAAAGACAATTCATGTTATTTGTTGAGTTAAACCCCAAACGATAGTAAAATTTTATATTAATATTATATTAATATTATATTAATATTATAGTCAAAGTTATCAAACAAGTCAAACAAGTTTTACTAACAAATTGTTGTCAAAAATCATTAACTAATATAATGTAATGATATTTGCTTTTATGTAATATAACTGACTCTATAACTGATCCCTCCTTTGCTTATCTTAACCATCTCTATGACAGTTGTGAGCCAATCAACACAACTCATACATAATGTTAACAAATGTTTTAAAACTATAAATGCAATCAAATATTGCTTTCAATACACTATTGTTTTACGAAACTAACAAAACATATGATAAATCAATTGTTTAATAGTTTTATAAATCAAAAATTTAAATGTTTATATAAAAGTCCAAACTATATGTTGTTCAACATTTTCAGTACAAATAAATACTATATTTGAACAAAATGTTTGCATAGAGTGTACTCGTTATTTGTTTTACGTTAGAAAAACACATGTTTTCATATAATAATCACAAACTTATTAATAAATAACAATTGATTTGATTGTATAACCAATTGGACGACAATAATGAGTGACAACAATAATAGTGATAATATCAATGAAAATGAAAAGCAATTACAAGACATTGAACTGAAACGCAAACAATTGACTCAAGACGATGACACTGACCAACAAGTGATCAATGAATCGGTGGTCAAAAAGCGCAAAGTATTGCCATATGAAGACGTCTACATTGAGAATCTGTGTTCAAGTGAGTCATATGAGCGGTCATTTATGCACCGGGATGTGGTTAGTCATGTGTTGGCCACCACTACCGACTTCATCATTACAGCCAGTATTGATGGTCACATCAAGTTCTGGAAGAAATGTTCGGTTGGTATAGAGTTTGTCAAACACTTCCGGACACATTTGCAGCCAATCACTGATATATGTGTCAACTCAACCGGTACTTTGTTGGCCTCTGTATCGACCGATAGGACACTGAAAGTGTTTGATGTGATTAACTTTGATATGATTAATATGATTCGGTTAGACTATAGACCACATTGTGTCCAATTTTGTCATTCGGCAGGAGATCCCATTCCAGCGATAGCTGTATCCGATACCGACAGCAATAAGATATACACATACGACGCCACTTCACCTAATGTCACACTTAATGTCTTTGACAGATTGCACTCAAATCCAGTAATTTGTATGAAATATAATCCAATATTTTCAACGATGATCTCAGTGGACACCAAAGGAATGCTTGATTATTGGATGTCTCATAAAAATGATTATAAATTTCCTGAAAATATTGTTGAATTTGAATCAAAACTGGACACCGATTTATATGAATTGGCTAAAAACAAGACAATACCTCATGATATCTGCTTTTCAAAAGATGGTAAATTGTTTGCTGCAATTTGTTCAGATCGTAAAGTCAGAGTTTTTAAATTCATAACCGGAAAACTGATTCGTGTTTTTGATGAAAGTCTTCAACATTTAACTCAATTACAACAGACAACACCACAACTTGGAAATATGGAGTTTGGACGGCGTATGGCTATGGAAAGGGATCTCGAAAAATCTGATGCCTTTCGTTTTGAACGCATTTTGTTTGATGAAAGCGGATATTTCTTAATATATCCAACACTTTTAGGCATAAAGATTGTCAATTGGTATACAAACAGATGCGTCAAATTGTTAGGAAAGGGCGAAAACTTTAGAACACTTAGTCTGGCTCTTCATCAGACTATTCCAAACAAAAGTAAAGCAGTGATCAGTATTGAGATGAAAGCAAGTGATAACCCATCACTTGATGCCTCACATCCCGATCCAACACTTTTCTGTACGGCCTTCAAGAAGAACAGATTTTACTTATTTACCCGAAGAGAACCTGAAGAGTCCAGTGAGACAACTGGTTATGAACGGGACGTGTTTAATGAAAAGCCTTCTCGAGAGGACATAATTGCAGCGACAGAAGCGCCGGCACAGCAACGCATTTGGGATAACTGTATCATTCATACAACAATGGGTGACATTCATTGTAAACTGTTTGGTAAAGAATGTCCCAAAGCTATTGAAAATTTTTGTATTCACTCGAAGAATGGTTATTATAACGGACACATATTTCATAGAGTTATTAAACAATTTATGATACAAACGGGAGACCCGACCGGCAATGGAACTGGAGGTGAGTCCATTTGGGGCGGAGAATTCGGTGATGAGTTTCATCCCGATCTTAAACACGATAAGCCATATACACTAAGTATGGCCAACGCGGGTCCCAATACTAATGGTTCACAATTTTTCATAACTGTTTTGCCAACCTCTTGGTTGGACAATAAACATACTGTTTTTGGACGCGTAGTCAAAGGTATGGAAACGGTTCAGAATATAAGTAACGTTAAAACGCATCCAAAAACTGACAAACCATACGATGATATAAGAATAGTAAACATAACTCTTAAATAATATTTTATTTTAATTCATTTATATGTCATTTGCTATCATAAATAAATTATATTAACTCAAACTAAACAATAAAAATTATAATAATTTAAAAATAATCGAAAAAATAATAAATAACTAATCATTGACTAAAACTTTGGTAAACCAAATATTTGTGGATCAAAGGCTTCGAGTGAATCGATAACAAGTGTTGATTGGCCGACAAATTTGTTTTTGTCAAACACGGGGTCGGGTATGAAAACCACTTGACAGCCAGCACTCAGTCCCGACTCGAGACCAGTTTGCGAGTCTTCAAAAACGAGAACTTTGTGCGGATCAGGCGGTGGATTAAACAAAGATATACAGTAGAGATAGGGATCAGCATAAGGCTTATTACGACTAATGTGTGGATCATCACCGGCACAGACAATATGATTAAAGTATTGACCGCAATCAAAGAATTGGCCGAAATTGACGATTTTAAGCGCAAATGTTTTATGAATACTACCGGTGCAAATGGCCATTTCGATGCCGTTTTTGGCCAAATGCTTCACCAATCGTTTGGCTCCCGGCATGAACTCAATCGTGTCGACGGCCAACATATCAACATAACTGTTGAATGCCGTGTCATATAACTCTTGAGCATTGAGTGGTAATTGTAATTCATTGGTCAATATGTGTGCGCAAGCCTTCAGATTGAGACCAATAGTCTTGGATTTGAGTGACGAGTCGTACTGTTTGTCATACTTTGCGAGGATCTGACTGATGGCCGCCGTTAGCATTGACTGCGTATTGATTAGAGTGCCGTCAAAGTCAAAGATACAGTGACTTACAGATGAATAACTTGACATCACTACCACTCTTGTGTTGATTACTTCATTTAATTATCAAAACTCAGATCAGATGAGACAATCATTTAGTCATTCTTATCAATAGTCGATTCATTCATACATTTATTATTAAGTATTCATTTAAACTAATCAAACATTAATAGCATTCAAAGCTAATCAATGTTTAGTCAATCAAAATGTTTATCATATGTTTTGTCAATTACTTTAATATTAATATTAATATAAGTTATGTACAAAACATTGTGCGCTATCTATCAATGGCTAACATTTCAAATACCGGTATCTAAAATAAAAAAATAGTTTGCAATCAACAAAATATTTACAAATATTTAGAAAACTTTATATTAAGTAAATTAAACATTTTAAATATAATTTGTTGTATAAATATATAACTAATAATTTTTACCAACTAATCAAATCAACATATCATATGTGTTATACAGTACTGTAATTTATGATATGGTCTAATATAAACTATTAATATCTAAAACTAAAATATAGAAATCTGATTACGTAATCATAATAAAGTTGATAAAATAAAATTGACTAGTACAATTGGATATCAAATAAAAATATTACAATTTCTAATTTTTAAAATATACACTATTAATAGTTACAATTAATTTATATACTGTATTTAAACTTTCAATTTTAAACTAATTTTCAATCAAATTACTTGTTTATATATTATACTAAAGCAATTTTTGGCGGGAAATTTGTTAAATTTTTAGATAAAATTTATAATTGCAAATAAAATAATGTTTTTCATTTCAATTAGCGGTTATTATTTTTCTAATTTTTTGTTATCAAAACCAGTTTCAATCATTTTGTAACTTATTTTATGTTTGAATGCAATACATGAATATTCTGTGAATAACTAATGAATGTTATTTTATACATGTTATGTATATTACTTAAATATATCAATTATTTTATTATTTATTTGTAAAAATATGACAAATATTATACTAATAAAAGTAAATTTAATAAAAAATTGTTTGATTCAATAGCACTGAATCAATGGTTTATTGACTAAAATGGTGGTAAACCAAAGATTTCAGGTTTAAAATCTTCAAGACTTTGAATAACAAGTGATGCCTTGAGTCGACTCGTGTCAGTCCTGGCGTCGGGAACCCAAACACACGGCATATTTGCTGCAATTGCAGCCGTAATACCGTTGACCGCGTCCTCAAAGACCTGATTTAATAATTAGTTTTAAATATATTTTAGTTAAATATTGCAAACAAAACACTATTTCGTTTTAATTACCAAACAATTGTCTGGTTTGGGAACCGGATTGAAGCGATTCATGGCTTCGATAAAGATATCGGGAAATGGTTTTCCTTTCTTGACTTTGAGATCGTCTGATAACACGCGATGACTGAAATATTTGTTATCTTTGAACAAATTGTCAAATTTGGCAGTTTTTGTTGCAAACTGTTCGGTGTTGGAACCGGTGGCCAAAGCCATCGGAATGTTGTGTCGATGCAAATGAGTTATCAATTGCATCACTCCTGGCATCAAATCAACATCTTTGACAGCTTCTGCAAACTCTTCGTTCATCATTTGAGTGAATTGATCGACACTTAGAGGAAGATTGAGTTCTGTGACCACAAGTGTATTGCTTTGAATGGGAGGCAAACCCATACACTTTGTCTTCAGATCCCAAGTAAACTCTTTGCCATATTTTCGGGTAATATTATTGGTGGTCACTGTATAGACCCGTTCCGTGTCTATCAATAGTCCGTCCAAATCAAAGATAACATGAGTTATGTCTGCAATGCGTGTCGTTTCACACATTATTTCATATAATATTCAGATATTTTAAGTTTAATTAATTGATTGAATATATCAAATGATATTCAATTTAAAACTCAATTATGCATTGAATGGCATTTCAATTAATAATCGATGACTTTATTTAAAACAACTACAGTCTAATCCCTATAAAAATAATAAATCATTTATTATAGCTTTCAATATTTTAGTCCAATTTTATTGTAGGAAATATTAATACTTATTACAAATAAATATATAAATAATTTGAAAAATTATGATTAAAATATAATTATTAGCTAAACAATTCAGAAATAAATTAAAATACAAAAATGATATACAAATCAACTGTATGTACTGTTTGTAAATATTTAAAAACATTTTCAATTATTATTACAGTACTTAAGTTAAAGAGTCTATAGTATAGAGTCTATACTGTATTTTTAGTAATACACATGTTTTGTGATAACATTTAAATTATTAAATGAAAATTGATATAAAAAATAAATAACATTTTGATAACATTTTTGAAGGTCTATTGATGTTTTGCATGAATTAATTGTGTATAACATATGTTTAGTTAATATTAATTATAAAAATTAGCCAAAACTTAAAGCATTATATGAACTAAATTTACAGTATAATACTGTATGATATTGTACTGTAGTATAATATACAGTATTTATATCATAAAAATAAAACTATTAAAATATACAACAAAAATCCGATTTTATATATGAATTTAGGTTTTGACAAATCAAATATTATAATCATTTAATAATACTGTATATTAGTATTTAATAATAATAATAATTAAAAAATATATAACGATAAAAATGATACATAAATCTAAACAATATAACTAATATAATATTATTATTTAATAGTTTGACTGTTAATTTCACAATTAAATATACAGTACATCATTACTATCTATTATTATTCATATGATATATTAATTTTTGATTTCATAATTCAATTGAATTAATTACTATTTTTATACATAGATATTGATTTTTGTTAAATTATATAATATTTTAATATACATATTGATTGTTATTAAAAGATGAAATGTTTTAAATGATTGTTATATAACTCATGTGATTATAATGTTTGTAAAAATTGATATAAACTAATGATAAACTAAAATGATATGATATTTATCTAAACATTAATATAAATTTATGCCAATAAAGTAATTATATGATTGAATCACTTATCAAACAAATTGTTTGTATTATCATTTGATGGCAAACAACGAGTCTTATAAAAGATGTTTGTTTACCACGATTTTTGTATTATCTCTAACTTGATATCAATAATAAAAATAAGGAAATCCCTGAAAGATCATTGAAATCAAGTGATAGTGAATTCAAATGTGAATTTAAACACTTGTTTCAAAACAAACTCATCGATCGCTTTGTTGACAATCAGTTTCATACATATAAGACAAAGATGTTTATGAAGAATGTATTGATGAAGACATTGCTATTTATTTTAATAATAATCATTAATTTAATACAAATTAATTGTAAATTTAAAACAGTTTGTTATCTTCGAGTTGATGAAAGTCAACGAATTGATGTCCAAACAATCAATGGTACCCTTTGTACTCATATTATTCTTGCTTTTGCTGTGTTAAACAATGGCATAATTGTTCCCAAAGAAGTTGACGATATATTTTATTACCAAAACGTGACAACACTTAAAACCAAATATAATGATTTAAAAGTTATGCTATCAATTGGTGGCGGAGGTAGTGATGGATCAGGTTTTCATGAGATCTGTTCCAATCAGACAAACATTGATAGGTTTGAATCATTTTTTTAATTTTTATAATTTATTTAATTATTAATATGACTTAAATATAGATTTGTTTGGTCTGTATTGGATTTTCTGTTAAAGTACAATCTCGATGGACTTGACCTTGGTAATTAATTTATTTAATGGTATCATAAATAATATTATGTTATAATTGAATTAATAAATTGTTAATAGATTGGGAGTTTCCCGCCTGGAATACCCCCTTTCCAAACGATAAATATAAGTTTACCCAACTTTTAAAAGTAATTGATATTTTTATTATTATTAATGTTATAATAAATTGTTTGATTAATGAGATATTACACAAAACAGACACTTCATCTTTGGTTTGGTCGACAACAGAACCGAATTGATAGGAGACATGATTTGCTGTTGAGTTGTGCCGTCTCTGCAATTGTCAATGTAGTCGACGGCGCCTATGATATGCCAGATATGGCTCAATATATAGACTTTGTTAACGTAATGTCGTATGACTTCCACATCTATAGCAAATACTGGCCGTTCACGGGATATAATTCACCACTTTTTAATCGAAAGGTCGAAAAAAGTTATTTCAGTTTATTGAATACAAACCGATCTATCAATTATTGGGTCGACTTAGGGATGTCTAAAGACAAGATTATGGTAGGAATTCCCACATATGGTCACACATATGTATTGGCCAATACTGATCATACGACACCTGATTCGGCAGCTATTCAACAGTTGGATGATATTTCATATCCAAGTGTTTGTCAAATGATGCGAAACAGTTCATCAAAAGTGATATTTGATGTCGAGTCCAAAGTGCCATATCTTGTCAATGATAATCATTGGATCAGTTATGACGACGAGATAAGTGTTGCCTTCAAAGCTCAATGGATTCGCGACAACGGATTTGCCGGAGCCATGACTTATGACCTAAACAACGATGACTTCAACTATATTTGCAATAATGAAACTAAATTCCCATTGCATTCAATTATTTATTCAATTATTAATTAGATTTTATTTAAAGATTTGTTTAAATTATTAAAATTTATATTTTCATTATTTATTCCAATAAAATGTATAATATATTATATTTTATGCATTATTTAATATATTAATTTATTTATTAAATTTTTAATAATAAATAGTCAAATAAAGTACAGTATATCTACAGTACTGTACTAAACAATAGTTAAGATTGATTTTAAATAAAAACTATTATTTTTTAGTTTACCGCTTATATTTAAGATTTAATGTGTCCATCAAACATGACCTATAAACTCAATTACTTAAATTTTTTAATAATTATAAATAACTTATTTCAACCATTTTTGTAAAAATGTAGTGAGAATTAAACTACATATTAAAAAACTATTATTAATTTATATTAGACATTAAATTATGTAATATTTCATATAATTAATTTAATAATTGTGAATACATTTTAAATGTATTATGTATTCAATGTACTCAATGTATTGCAATTTGCAAATAATTTTCTATTGCATTCTCTGTACATAAATGTATAATACTATAGTCATTGTACAATAAATATTCATTTAATACAATTTATAAACCTTTAAACACCTTCTTTAAAATTAATGTATTATTTTATTTCATTTATTAATAATTTTCTTCTTATTATTATATTATTATTATTATAGCCGTTATAGTGTATAAAACAGTATAATTTATACTATACTACTGTATTAATAAATACTGTACAGTAATACTGTATAAATAAATGTCGACTAACATGACATCTATAGTTAGCTATTAATTGTATTAACTTATGTTATAATATAACATAAAATACTGTATATATTTATATACACACGTGTTGTACGATATATAATGTTCTGGTATTTAAAGTATTGACTAAAACATTGAATTGTTTTATGTTTTGAATGATAACATAGATATCTATTGACCACTAATAAGATGGCGAAGAAGTCAAATAAGAGGAAACTAAAGACAGAAATAAAAGCAAAAAATGTGACAAAAGAGCCGGAAGTGGAAGTGTTGGATGCCATCAGATATTCAGATGAACCGCCAATTAAAAAGGTTTGACTAAATGATGACAATTATATGATTTCTTGAATATTGTTATACTTTTAGACCAAATGGCTTAACAAACAACGAGTCCTTGTGTTGGCCACTCGTGGCATCACTTATAGGGACAGACATCTAATGAATAACATTAAGCAAATGCTTCCGCACTCAAAATCTGGTGATTTTATGACAATTAATATCATATAAAATACTGTATTAATAATTAATTTGAATGACTTATATTAGAGCCGAAAATGGAGGCAAAAGATTTGCATTTAGTGGTCAATGAGATCTGCGAAATGAAAAACTGCAATAAAAGCATATTCTTCGAGAACCGAAAGCGCAAAGACTTATATATGTGGATATCAAATGTACCGAACGGCCCGTCGGCCAAGTTTTTAGTGGAAAATGGTATTAAATAGCGTCTAATTGTTATCTAAACGATTGATTAATCTTTGAAAATATTGGTATTACAGTCCATACAATGCAAGAATTGCGAATGACTGGCAACTGTCTAAAAGGATGCCGACCTCTACTATCATTTGATCCCATGTTTGACAAACACATTCATTATTCACTTCTTAAAGAGATGTTTATTCAGGTATAGTATTTTGTGATGAAATAATGACATTAAATATTGATATAATTATTTAAAAACTAGATTTTCGGGATTCCAAACAATCATCCGAAAAGTCAACCATTTTTCGATCACGTCTTATCATTCAATATATTAGATCATAAGATATGGTTTCGTAATTATCAGATCGTAGAAGAGGATGGCTCTCTTGCAGAGATCGGACCTCGTTTTGTGCTAAATCTTATTAAAATATTTGACTCGAGTTTTAGCGGTCGTATACTTTATAGTAATCCCAATTATGTGTCACCAAATAGACATCGCCGTCAACTCAAGAATATGGTGTCAAACAAATATAAAGATAGGATTTCGGCCAAAAAGGGCAGAGAAAATAGAGAACCGAAAGGCACTTCTTATGCAGACGTTGACCAAAACGATGATATCTTCAATACGATAACACCTGAAGTGGCCAAAGGTGTGGCTAAAAATGTTTTTCGTAGAAATAAAGATTAAACTAATTATACTTTAAATCAAATTTCATTTATTTTGAAATAAAGAAAACGATTTTTCGTCATTAATCGGACATTATTTCACTTTTATATAATATGCAAAAAATACATCAAAAGAATTGATTGAAAAAAATGAATTACTCTTTCGAGTAATGACTCGTTATTATAACAGTTGTGTTAACAATATATCAATCAAAAACATAACTCATTTGTTTGGCTCTTAAGTTAAATATCAATATATAATAATATATATAATGTATGTATAATATATATTGTATTTATATTTATATATCAATTCCTACAAATATAGCATAAAATAATATTTAAGATCAAAGACGAAAACTGCAATTATAAAGTCAATCAAATTTTTTAAAAGTTAAATCACTTGTTATTTAACTTTTAATTTGTTGTCTATTCGTGTTATGTATAATAATGTTATTTATTTGATGTTTTAATGTGTAATAATAGTGCAGACAATCACTTAAGCGGTGGCGAGAGAGGGAAAGTCATTCCAATCGTCAACTTTAGGAGCAACCTGTGAGTCACGGGGCCGACGGTTTCGGTTACGATCACCGAACTGTCGTTCGCCGCCACCACCACCTCCTCCTCCTCCTCTGCCGCCTCTATTGCCACCTCTATCTCCTCTCTCTCTATTGTCTCGACGATCGCCTGGTTTGTCATTTCTGTCGCCTCTGTCTGTCTGACGGTCACTAATACGCCGTTCCCGTCCACCTCGTCGTCCGTCTCCACGTCGCTGATAATCTCGTCCTTCATCGCGGAAATTGATCTCAATATCCAAAACTTGTTTGTGTCGTCCTTTTCGTGGATCCTCTTCCTGTAAATTAGACAAAACAAATCAAAATTTACGTAAACTTTAAAAAATATGAATATTAAATACCACTTCAATTTCTTCGTATTCCACCTCTTCTTCGTCCTCAACCTTTTTCTTAAGAATAAAAGTCTTCTTCCACTGTGAGTTGTCTTCTCCTTCTCCGGGTTTTCTCAAATTAAACTTCGGTTGAACTCTTTGTCCTTCAATTTGCTGCTTATACTCTTCAAGTGTCATCTCTTTGGGCTCTTCAACGGCGGGAACCAGTTCTTCAGCAGAGTTAGTGTCATTTTCCTGATTTGAATTACTCACATCGAGACCCGTTTCGTCAGCACTTTTGTCAATCATATCATGATTGTCGGCAGCAAATGGCTCTTCATTAGAAAAGTCATCAATTTTGCCCCAATTATGAGCTCCGCCGCCATCTCTCTTGTCGACTGCCTTAACGCCTGCCTTATCACTACCAGAATGTCTGTCCAATTCTCTTTTTCCACGCCTTTGGTCGTCTCCTCCAAACCGTCCGCCACCACGACGTGGACCACTGTTACGAGGATTTCTAGGGCCCCGTCGGTCACTGTCACTTCGCTCTCGTCTTTCTCTACATAAATAATTAAATTAGTGTTTCTATTGGATTCAAAAATATATTCATTAAAACAAAACATATATCAAATTGAATTTAATAGTTGTTGTCTATCCGTCGTATGCACACAACTATGATATTAATTATTAACATAATTGTCGGCTTAATTAACGGAAAATTTGTTAATTGCCATAAAATGACAAATACCTCATATCATTGCCACCAAATCTCTCCTCTCTGTTCCTCTGGTTCTTGGCGTCATCGATATCTTTCTGTTCAAAATGTCTCGGCGGTCGGTTCTGGCGGTCACTGATGTGATTGGGGCGGTCACCGCCTTGAACATCGCGTGGCCTCTGAATTCGGTCGGGTTTCGAGCGATTGGTACGATTTGGATCACCTAAGGATTTGCAACAAAAAACAAATCTTATAAAATAAAGTTTATGTAAAACACGTTTAAAAGGGGAAAGTCGTAGAAAATTGGGTTAACTGGCAGTGCTTTCTCATGAAAACACATGGCTTTCATAGGACTACTTCACCTCAAACACACTCTTAAATAGTTTCAATGATTTCACGTTTTGTTTAAATTATTTTTAAATATCAATCGATTAAATCATTAAATAAGTTGACTCTTATATAAAAATATTACAAACAAATACACCAATCAATCGATCCATTTATAGCTGTTATATATATATATATATAGAGTATACTGTAAATTATAGTATAGTATAGATATAGGTATAGTACTACCGGTGCTGTACAGCGGAGAGTCTATACTAAAGGCTAGAAATTATTGTCTTTCTTTTAACTTATTTTTTGGTCATTAATTAAATAATTTATAAATTGAATCAAATGCTATAATCTTATCATTTAAGAGTCTATTATCTAATTTTAAAAAGCAATTAAAACAAATTTTTAATATCAAGTAATCAATTGTTAGATAAATTTTAACTAAAGATAAACAATGAAACCAAATGTTTGCTAACCTTTTGCAATGCTATCCTTATTCTTCTGGATAGTCTGTGAACCATCAGTCGTCTTGGATTCTGATGAAACAAATAACAATTACAAATATGAGTAAAAAGTGGATCAATTGATCAAATTTCAGTACTGAATGGTAAATCCTTTTGGTTCTTGTCTTTGATGATATTCTGATGGTTAGTATTTGCCAACTTTGAGTCATTTAGTGCTTTCTTGTCCAACACTTTCTTTTCTTTAGATGGTTTTTCATCGCTTTTGTTTATGATCTCCAATGGGTCGCCCTCTTCATCGCTTAAGAAGATGGCGTACCTATTCTTGACTCCGATGCCATATGAAGACTCCATTATTGATATCACTGATTGTGTGCCAACTGTCGACAAGTACTGATCAATTGGTCACTTAAAGTGAGATCAAATCATATGAATAACATTAACCACTAATTGTATCGAAGATATGGTTTCTTAACAAATCAGTCGTCAGTTTCGTTAAGACCTTCACTGCTATAACACTAACAATACATTCAATACAAGCATTGAATACATGAAAGCATTGAAAGCATTGCTAAACCATTGAAAGTCTGACAAAACAACTATCAGTACTGAGTTTGCGTTCAAACATATACTTAACACTACTTTACTTATATATATGACACACACTGTACTCCACTTGTATTACAATCAACTATTCATTACTACAGTAGACATGATATATAAGTTGACTACTATTGCTAAACAACACAATTAAATGGCGGGCAATGCGTTGTAAACCAATTCAATTGCATTTAAATCACATTAATTACGTCACATATTATACAGTTATTAGTCATTTTATATTCATTTCAATTAATTAATATTATTAACAAATTATAAAACAATTAATGTATTTAATAAACTTGTAATACATTTGACATACAATTTAATTCAATTATAAACAATTGTTGCAATTATTATATATATTTAATATTATATATAGTATTAACTTAATGTAATATTTTTATATCAATTATGTAAACAATTGATAATCAATTAAATAACAATTTACTATAAGTAAAGTAATTTAGTATTAATATTAATAAATAAATATCGATATTATATTTAATATAAATTAATTAATTTAACTATTATTGTAATATTAATAGCTTTAAGTTATTGCAATAATTGAGACATAATTTATTGCAATATTAAAGCACTGTTTAATTAATGGAGTCATTCATAGATAGTGTGTATTAATAGAGAGGTATTTGTATTAATTGAATGAATTGAGGGGAACATTGAATGTAATGTATGTAACATTAATTGTGTATAATATGTAATAATAGCGCGAAAGTCAATTGCATTGTGTATTGAATGCATTGAATGTATTGCATGTATTGATTGGTCTATTGGTTGTAATGTTTAGTACTATTGGTTGGCGCTATTGGTTGGCGCTATTGGTTGGCGCCGGCGGTTATGTAGTAGTGATGCAGTGATTGTCAGATCTTTATTAACATTTCATACAAACTTTTAATTGACTTTTAATTGACTTTTAAATTAAAAACAAATTAATATCTCTTTTATATTTTGATTTTGTTATCAAAAACATTGAAAATATGTCACAGAAAGGAGTTATTGTTTTTTCGACACCAGTTTCAACTAAAACACAAGAAATTAAGTTCAAAGAGAGTCAAACTCGAGTGTCAGACATGTCTTCATCCCCGATGAGCGCCGATAATAGTTTGTACTATCCGTGGTTGTGGTCAGATTCGGCTCAATCTATACAATTGAGTCCACTTCCCAACGCGTGGCGATCGGTTAATAAGTCATCTCCCGATTTGGACAGTACATCGGGATCAGCTAAAAGAGGCCGACCGCGTCTTGAAGAAATAACAAGTTTAATACAATCTGGCGCTACTTCGCCGTCGGCCATCAAATGTGAGATCTGTAACCGAGTATTTCCACGTGAAAAGAGTCTTCAGGCGCACATCAGGACGCATACGGGTGAACGGCCGTATCGGTGCGATATTGAAGGATGTGGTAAAGCATTTGCTCAGTCGGGTAATAATGATTGCATTAACAGCTTTGATTCAAAGACTAATATTGTGATTATCTTTAGGACAATTGCGAACTCATCAACGGTTACATACCGGCGAAAAGCCATTTGAGTGCGCGTTTCCCAATTGTACCAATCGGTTCACTCACGCCAACAGACGGTGTAGTTTGCATTCACGTTATGGCGTCCGTCGGGTTACAGATGATGGAAGCTCTTCAACAACAATGGACAACAAAGTTACCAAAGTTTTAAAAGTTAACAGAAATATTGGTAACACTGACAACAATAACAAAAAGTTGGAAAAGAAAGTCCGAAACAGTGAAAAGCGTCGCTCAGTCATTGCACACGTCGGTCGTGCGGCCCGTAAATTACACGACGAGTTGGACGCTGAGGCTGATGACAAAAATGGTATGAGTGAGCACAGGGATAAAATTATGGGCGCACTGGCACTCATGCAATTGGCCGGAAGTGCACCCATCGATATGGACTCTAATGTCAGTTTTGATAACAATGAAAATGTTGAACAAATAGTTACCATTGAATTACAACACTTATAAAAAGCGGCTAATTTTTAATACATTTCACACAAACATTTAAACACATTTATAACATAACATTATTTTTTTTGTAATTATTCAAAATTTTACTTATTTAATATTTGAAAAATATCTTATTATTAATATAAAGATAAATCATGATATTATAAAAATCTTTTAAATACTTATTTTTATATAAAACGATGGCATTTATTATTGATTCTTAAGCATTGTTTATTTGATTATATTTTAATATTATTGCAAATATATGTTTCATTATTTGTAAAATCCTTTGTAAACCCTTTTGTGATTTCAATTATTTTTTTATACTGTATAACAATAAATATGACTTATGGTATGGCCTATAAATCTATCACCGATTATTATATCAAAAATATATTAATAATTAAAATTAATATCAATTTAAAACAAATTCAAATGATTGACCGATCATTAGAGCTGATGCTTTCATTTCTTGTTCAGTGAGAATTGCATTCACTATAAGGCGAATACTTGGTTCTGGAAGTAGATGTTCGCTTTGATCCAAATATCGGGACACTGTTAGCGCATAACCTCTTTCTTGTGCCTAAATTCATAAAAAGTAAGACATTAATCGTTTTTGTTATTATAAGTAAATAGAGAATCAAATAACAACTGACATAAGTGACTACTTTCTCCAATTTGTGAGTCACCAGTTTGTGGTCACCGTTTTGATTGGCAAATCTTAAATGCTTTACGGGTGATATGGTTTGACCAAACACAGCAATATGCGGAATGCTATTCATTTAATAAATTAAACAATTATTGTCAGTTAATCTATGGTACAGATAATCATAAGATTACTACTTTTTCAGTAGCGAATGCATGATTTGGCAATTTTGTCGCAACTTTTCAATGACAGAATTGTCTCTTTCAATGGTGTCGAGTGATGACAAGGCAACTGCTGCTTGTAATGGAGGCAAAGAGGCTGAAAAACAATATCCAAGACCTGATAAGCGTTGATGATCGACAATAAAGCTGGTGCCACAACAGAAACCTCCATAAGCGGCCATTGAATTCTCTAAAGTGGCACAAATCATATCAATATCTGCAACATCAACACCAAAATGCTCAACAACTCCGCGGCCATTAGCGCCAAGAACTCCAAAACCACAGGTGTCGTCAATAAACATGCGAACCTTATACTTCTTTTTCAATTCAAGCTATAATATATTATTTAACAAATTATTATTAATAATAATATCATAAACATTATTATGATAAATGACATACAATTTGAGGTAATGGACAGATATCGCCATAATTAATATAAAGACCTTCAACAACAAGGAAACGTCGGGTCACTTTCGCTTTCTTGGGATTCTATAATAATATAAAAACATACCATAAGTTTATAAAATAGATTTATAATATCTTTAAACTAATACTTTACGATCGATGTCCGCTTGTTCTGAAAGAAGTCGATGCAGATCTTCGACATCATTATGTTTAAAGAACTTAATTTTGCTTCGGGAGGCAAGCAATCCCTGTTGTATTGCAAAGTTGACGCCTTCATCACTATTTTGATTGTTAGTTTAATAAATAAATTGTAATTTAATTAAACAACAATAAAAATTTACGGACACAAAGATAAGATCTCCAACTTTAGAATAGGCGGGAATAGCACTGGAAATGGCAGAGAAGCCATAGGAATAAAGGACGGCCTCCTCGACGCCCATAAATTTAGCTAATCTCGACTCCAACTCCAAGTGAATGTCTGTAATTAAAGTATTATATTATACAATAATTATCAAATCAGTTAGCATCTCAAGAGTTCTGACCAACAGTTCCATAGAAACCTCGCGGACCACACGAACCGACGCCATACTTGCGGAGACCTTTGATAGCCGACTCAATGCAGCGGTCATTCTCAACAAATCCCAAGTAGTTATGAGTGGCCAGATTGAGACAATCCGTACCGTCCACTACAATACGTTTTCCTAATTTCGAGGTCACTATTCTTGGATTCAATGCGTAATGATCTGCCGGTGTTTCGGGAACTAATGGTTCGGGTGTCCACTCATTTATCAGGTCTTCTTTTTCCTGAACAGATGATAATACTATTAATCATAACAAGTAAGTGATATATTCATTGATCTAACTTTTTCTGTTAGTTTGGATGCCTCCGGTTTATAGCTCTTATGAAAAATAAGCCATAAAAGACACATTAGAAGACATCCCTCGAGAGCCAAGTGGTATTTGGGCGCCGATATCAATGAGTCCATCATCTCTTTCAGCTCCCATTTCATGTCTATAGACATCATAATCATCGATAACATGGTTTATTGTTTATGTGTTGAATGTCTTATCAATCAATCAGTTAATTGTGATGTCATTCAAGTCTTGTTTAGCAATCACTTCCCAAACCAATCACACAATCAATGTTTGCCAACAAAGCGGTTGTCATATGTTTGAAATCAATCAAACAATTGAATCGATGTTAACATTAATGAGTCAATCAATCAAATTATTGTTAACTAATCACTAATCAAATCATATGATATTAATATTGTATTATTAGTACTATTAATACTAATCACTACTCTATTGGACTCTCTATTCACTCATCCATTCATATCTCACGTTTGACGGCTATTAACATAGTATTCCCTCTTTTGCAATAAATTCCCACCCATTCCATGATTTCTTATATTAATTTAAAAATTGCTGAAAATGTTTATAAAATACAATCATCTAAAGTATTCAAAACTTATAGGTTTGTATACTAAAGAGTCAAAATTAATTATAGTAAACAATAAAATTATAAATAAATTAAAATAATTTTATTGTAATTTATAATACTTAATAATAAGATTAGAATTTTACTTAAATTGCTATTTAAATTATCAGTTAAATTGAAGTAAAAATTAGTTGAAAACACCATTTATTTATTTATTTCTAGTGATAACTAATTACAATTAATATTGATTTGAATTGAAGTTCATTTAAATTAATTCAATTAACAGTAATTTACTACAAAATGATAAACGGATGTCAACCAAATTGTTTTATAGATAAAACATCACATTATACTAATCCATCAAAAGTATAAGTATTTAATTATAATTTAATAAAAGTATCAAATTTTAATAAAATATCTGATGAATCAATGATGAATTAATCAATTATTGACTTACAAGTTAGCAATAATTGTTAGAATGATTTAATACTAAATTTATTGCATCACTTAATTATAAATAATAAATTCCTTAATCTTCCCTTAATTTACTAATCACTAGACGACTATTGATATTGATTTGTGTATTCAATGATTCATCAAAAGTATAACTAAATGATCGCATAATTTCCTATATTTATTACAAACTAATTAACAATTTTATTATCAAAAGATGTCATTGTATTACACAATATCTAACACAATATAATAACATAGAGTAGAGTAGAGTTGTTAACCCAAATATAAACCGTCGAAATTGTTTTTAAAAACTTAATGTTAAATTAACTGATATTACACTTATAAAAGACATTGTATTTAATAATTTAGTAAAAACAATATAATTTAGATGCGGTTTCATTAAAAATATACAAAACACTTGTAAACATCAATTCTAAAGTTTCAATCATTTAACATAATTTATATAATTTAATAAATAAAACACAAATCATTTTATTCAAAATTATAATTATATTTACAATTTGGTTAAATTTAATTTTTAAAAATTTAATTAAATGTGTTGATTATTAAATTAATTTTTATATAATTGCAATTCTATATCATTTATTTATCTAAATTTAATTATATATTATAAAAAATATTAATTTTATTAAAGTTATATTAGTATAAATATGATTAAAAATTTTAGTTTAAATGATTTATTAGATTATTTTTTACTGTAAGTTTTAGGTATTTTTAATTTTGAGTTTTTTTTGAATTAATTTTTTGAGTTTATGTTTTTTAAATATTGTATTTGTTATTTTGACTAATAAACCCTTCAATTATGTTAAAAACGGTTCCGGTTTGGGACTAAAGATCGATCATTTGATAAATATATTTAATTTTAAAACTGTTTGTTTGTTTGTTCTAATTTAATATTGATTTTCTATATTTATTTTAATAGTTAGTTATACGTGATATAAGTACAAAATTATTTAATTATTAAAATTAGGAATAATATGATACAATTGTTTTGTTTAATAATAAATTTATTGCTTTTTATAAAAGTTATAATACATTAATATAAAAATACTATTAATATATAATAACATAATATTGATTATGTTATATCAAGTTATTAATATAACATTTATTATATTTAGATTAAAACAATTGTTTAAAAAATAACAAATTGTGGTTTTATAATACAATTTACTAACTTTACTATTTATGACAATAATTTTAAAAATATCATTACCGGTAATTTTAAAGTTAAATTATTTCCTTAAATTTATAAATATTAATATACAACAATTTTAAAGAGGATATATTTTTAAAAATATTAACAAAATTTTTAATATTAGTAAATTATAAAATTAACAAAATATAGTTTAAAAACATGACTGATCATATTTAAAATATATTTTTTTATAATAAAAATAATAATTAACTTATCGATAATATTTGATGTAACTATTTTTCTAGTCAATTATATACTGTATTTCTATATTTTAATATAAAAACATTATTATAAATACAGTATATATAAACAATGATAAGCTATACATACATTATATTTTTATTTTATTATATTAAAAAACGATTATTCAGCAAAGCTTTATATTTGATATGTTATAATTATTTGCTCAATAGTTTATTTATTATAATATTATATTGTGTTAAATCAATGTATTATTGATATTATATTTTTATTCTAATTTTATTTTAATTATAATATTAAATTAAATAAATTAAAAATAAACTATTTGTTAAAAAGACAGTAATAATATTACAATTGAAATAGAATTTGATTTTGGATTTTTGAAAAAAATTGCCATTTATAAATTCAATAAAAATTTACATCCCACTCTATACCCCATGATTTTTCGAAATTTTTGTCACAACCCCTCTATATCCATAAAATCCAAAACCTTGCTTAACCCAGATATATAATATATATATATACCAGGGTTAAGTAGGGGGGGTAAGGCCAAAATACCCCCCAGACTTTTTGACCAAATGGGAAAAATTGTCGCTTAAAAACGAGGAGAAATGACCCCCCCTAAAATTTCGGCGTTTTTAAAGTTTTTAAAAATTTTAATTTTAGTTTTTTAGGTGTTTATATGTTTTTAAAATTTATATGAATCTAATTATTGATTAAAAATAAATAAAATAACGTTAAAACTCATGAAAAAATAACATAATTTTAATTAAAATATTAAACTAAAAAATTAAAAATTACCTATTTGTTGAAAAAAGTAATCATATTACAATTTAAATATAAGTTTAAGATAGTTTAATAAGTTAATAAAACAATAAATACTTATATTACAAGGTTTTTATTAATAATTTTTAAAATTTTAACTAAAAAATCTTTAAAATTTTGAATTTAATAATTAGTATTCAGTCACTATTTATATAAAAATAACATTAAAAAATAAAATTATATATCTATAAACTATGAACATTAAGTATTATTTAAAAAATTAATTATGTTAAAAGTTAAAAATTATTAAAATACTAAAAATAACTCATAGTGCATCATTAATGCTTTTATCAACTATTTTTAAATCTTAAATACATTATTTTATTTTTTGTTAAAATTTAAGTTATTATCAATATTTAAATTTTTTTTTAAATATTAATTTTTTGTTAAAATTTAAGTTTTTGTTAATTTTTAAGTTTTTTTATATTTTTGGAAATTTTACCTATTTTCTCGGGAATTTATACGGGAATTTTATTGAATTTACATGGGAATATTCGGGAACTTAAGGAATTTTTAGGGAATTTTCTCTTGACCCCCCCCCTTGATTTTGGATTTTTGAAAAAATTGCCGTTTAAAATGCAATAAAAATCTTACCCCACCCAATACCCCCCCCAAGATTTTTCGAGAATTTTGTAAATTTTACCCCGGTCTACCCCCCCCCCCCTAAAATCCAAAACCTTGCTTAACCCTGATATATACATTCCAGAAAAAACACATTTTTAAAGTTTGTTTGAAAATACTTTAAAATTAATTAAAAACATGTAAAACAATTAAATGTACATTAATTATAATATGTTATAATAATAATTTAGAGAAATACTAAAAATATTATTTAAATAATACAACATATTTTAGATTTATGAAGTTTTCGTGATTTTCTCAAATGTTTTGGTGACAACTGTTTGTCATCGAGAGAGTGACTTTGGATTAGTTTCGGTACTTTAGGATGTGTTGTCTTATCTATGAATATGTTTCTCATCGATCGCAATGACTTTAATACCGATTTTGATTGTTTAGAAGTGTTTTTATGATTTGTAATATCATTAGTATTATTGATGTTATTGTTATTATATGATGAATCTGAATGTTTTTCTGAAATGTTATCAATTTCATGATTATTAATATCTTTTGTAATATTTGTATCACTTTTGTTACTATTAATATTTGATTTAATGATTTTATTGACAATAATGCGAAAACTGCCGGTTATGTTGCTTTTGGATCCCTTATCCGTGTGATTAGCAATAATTACATTAGTTATGCCTAATTTCCAGAGTTGACTATAAGCACTAAGTTCCTCATTAGATAAACACTCATTTATATTATTATTATTATTTTGTTTCCAATCAATATCTTTGAGATTATATTTAGGTAAACCTTCGGTAAATGTCTGTCCTTTAAGCCACTGACACTCCATTAATTGATCTAAATTTAATCGTTTTTCACATTCAATTTGTAGTAAACCTTTGATGATAACAATACAATCTTCACTCAAATAATTTGGTATTTCATAAATACATCCAATAATTAACTGTTTTAGTGCTGATATAGTGTTAGCTTTGAATGGGATGATAGCGGTGACCATATAATAAAGTAAAACACCTAAAGCCCAGTAGTCAACATATGGTCCGACATAACTTTGATCCTTAAACAGTTCGGGTGCCGCATAAGGTGGAGATCCGCAAAATGTTGATAATAATGCATTAAATGTATCAATTTGTGTACTAAAACCAAAGTCTCCTATTTTTATAGTTTTCTCATTCATAAGAAATATATTTTCAGACTTAATATCTCTATGTATAATATTATTGTTGTGCTATAAATACATGTATTATATAAAAAAGGAAATCATAAAATAATATGATTGTAATAATTATTGTATTTAATAACAATTAAAAAAAAACTAATGATTTGACTGACCATATAGTGAATGGCCGACACAATCTGCGCGAAGAAACATTTGGCGACACTTTCATTGAGTCGACCATCTCTTTGGATTAATTGATATAACTCTCCGTTTGGCGCCAACTCCATCACCAAATGTATCTTTGAAATGGTTTCTATTACTTCAAACAAACTTATTATATTTGAATGATGAAGCGTTTCCATTGAATTAATTTCTCTAAAATGTTATTAATTGAATCAATACTATCAATTCAATCAATTATAATCGATATGAAACAAATTATTACCTTAAAATCATTTTTCTAGTTTTTGCGTCCATTTTAGATTTGTCTAATATTTTTATTGCCACTTTTTCTAAAAATAAAATAAAATAATACAAACAATTTATTACACTTAAAAACTAATAATAAATTATTGTAATTTATAATAAATAAAAATAATGATAAAAAGTGATACCTTTAGTAAGTGAATGATGAGCTACTTTGACACGTGAGAAGTTTCCGGAGCCGACATCTCCTTTGAACAGATAGAAGCCAACCCTTCGACCCAAAGTTATGTCTCTCATCCAAACATCATTACTTTCAAGTGATTTGATAACACTTTCATAAGGTGTTAGCTTCACGCCATTGCTTTCACTTTTATTACATTTTACATCTGTATCTAACAATATATTATTATTATTAGACATTATTAAAGTTGTTATTTTGATTACTATATAAAAAATTTTTGATACAATTTCTAAATGCTGTTATATTTGAAATGACATTAAAAAATTACGAACCTATTAAGTCATTGGCAAAATAGTTGGAGTCATTATCTAATTGATTAACAGTAAGCAATGGACTTAATTGACGGGAATTATCTGAGCTTTTGATAGTTTTGATGGATTGTTGGTTTAGTGCACGAGTTGTGGGCATTGCTGTCGGCAATGAAGGCGATACTTTGGCGGAAGGCATCACACAAACCAATTGAATTACAAAACATTTATTTCTAATTTAATGACAATTTGTTTTATACAAAATACATTACTTTTCATTATATTATAATTTGTTTATTTAGATTATTTAAAATATTGTTTAAATCAAAAGAAAACTTTCTCTTAAATTAAAAAATATATATATAAGTATTAATTATTAATAATAAACACTACTTATAATAATCATACTCTCACTAATTTGGATATATTTACAAAATTTAATTTATTTGATATTATAGTATATTCTAAATATAATAATATTATGAAAATTAATTAGTTTTTATCACAAGATAATTAATAATATCTAAATCTAATATGAAATATAGTTATGTATTCAAGGTTATCAATATAAAATACTAACTTATTGTATAAATTAATAAAAATAAATTTGTAAAATAAATATTTCAATATTTTAACATTATATATCAGTATTATTATTATTATATATCTCAAATATAAAAAATAAAATAAGTTAATAAATTTTATATTTAAAATAAAATTTATTTTTAAATATTTTTTACATAACTAATGCTATAATTAATGTTATGTTTTACTGCATTGAAAAATTGTTATGGTAGTAAATATTCATATAAATTTATAATCAATAATATCTCTCTCTCTCTCTCTCTCTCTCTCTCACTTAATTATATAAAAATTTTATTTGTTATATAAAATTTAGGTTATAGTCTAAATATTTATCCAAGCCTTTAATAACCAATTATATAATTAAATGATAAATAATATGATATAGATTACGTTTTAGTATACTAAAACAATACAAATAAAACATTAACAAACTTTGTAAATAATATTAGTAACAATTTAAATGTACTTTCTGTCAGTTTCTAAAATAATTTCAAAATATTTTCTGAATACAGAATTTTGTATTAATAACAACATTATGTTATATAGTATTATAAAATATAGAATATAATATACTAAGTGTTTTAATAGTTACTTATAGTAAAAAATAATAATAAATAAATATCTATTCATTTTTTTGTACGATTTTAAATTTAAATAATTTGTAAAATACTTTGTTGTTATAAATAATTTAACATATATTGTAATTATTATAGAAATATGTAAATAGATATTTCTAAAAAATTAAACAAAATTTATCAAAAAATAATTTTCTATATAAGTTTTACTTTATTACTATACAAATGTATTTTTAAAAATTAAAATTAAATTTTATATTTATAAAATATGCAATGAAACATATTTATTTGGTTTACTATAAAAATTAATTAATATATTACTTAAAATAATATTTTGTTATTATTAATAATTATATTGTATTACAAATTAACAAATACAAAAAATAACAAAATTAATATGGGATACCATAAAACATAATTTTTTATTAGCTTTATGTAATTTTTCATTTTATTTATCAACTCTTATTCTAATTCTGACTAATCTAATATAGTTTGATAAGAATATTAAAAATTTATAAGAATATAAAAATATAATTAACAATATGACAAAAAATTAATTAGTTTAATAATTTTTAGATAATTATTAATTTAAGAATATATAAAATATATACAAATCATTTTACAAATTAAATAATCTTTTAATTTTCAATTTATTTTATTAAATTTACAAAAATATTATAATTAATTGACATAAAATTGTAATTGTAGATATATTGTAATTTTGTAAACTTATAAAGCGTTATAAGTTATAAAGTTTATTTGTAATTTTTGTATGAAAATAATATTTAATTGAATAAATAACAATTACTATATATATTATTACAATCAATTGAAGGCTTTAGCTTAAAATACAACTGTTTTTGATTCTCGACTGTTAGATAGTATATATTAAATATTTGGTAAACTATACTTTAAATATGAAAATGACAAATAAAATAGTTATATATTTAATGTACAGTTATTGTATTAATAATTGTAAATATTAAACTCAATAATATAGTAATTGTTCATTTTTTATTAATAGTAAAATTGATCAGATAATAGCATAGGCTATTTTTAACGGTCTATTTTTATTATCTATTATATTATAGTTAATTTTACAATTAATTAAAAGTACAATATTATTAAGTTTAATATTATCTATAACTAAGCTATTAGTCATTTTTGCATTTAAAGTATGGTTTGCCATATATTTAATATATTCTATCTATCAGTCGTGGACAGGGTTTTAAAAATTTCAGGCATAAAAATAGATGTCAATTTTGGTAAATGCCTGCCCTGCCTCTGCCATGTCCAGGGCATCTATATTCACGTGGTGACACCTATTATTTTAATTATATAATATTAATTAATTAAAAAACATTGTTTTATCATTATATTTGTTTGTTTGTTTTGTATATCTTTAATTATACGGTAATCTCATTGTAAATGTCTATTTATAAATATATTTAATTAACATGGTAAAAACACCAAATTATTTATTTATATAAATACAATTATTTTTTAACAATTAAAAATGGCAGGCCAATAAAATGCAATTATATATTATATAAATATTTGCCATTTATTCGCGATGGCAGGCATTTATTATTTTAAAACCCTTGTCGTACAATGGAATCGAAGTATTAAAATAAAAATTAATTAATTAATATATTTGAATATGTTTTGTAGTTACTTATGTATTATCATATAATTAAATGTGTAAATAATTTGTTATTAATTATTAAAATATAAAATTTCTTTCTAGCTACAAATAAATATTAAAAGCAGATATACTATATATTTTTTTATTATAATATTAAATTTATTATAATTAAATAAAATAAATTTTTAATTAAAAAAATAAATTTAATCAAATCAAACAAAATGTTTTTTATTTAATGTCCTTATCATTGAATAGAAATTATAATATACTATATTTTTATATATATAGTTAGTTTAAATTAATTTATAGTTTACATTTATAATATTTAAAAATAATTAAAAAAATGTAACTATTTTTTGTTAAATTTTATATATTCATTATTAATAAATTGAGTTGGTATATAAAATAAAATTTAACAACTAATTTAATACTAATATAATAATAAAAATAAAATTTAAGTTAAAAACATAAAATATATTTAAAATAAAAATAATATAATAATAAAAATAAAATTTAATTTAAAAACATATGAAATATATTTAAAATAAAAATAAATTTATCTAAAAATATCAATAAATATTATTTTGATATATAATTTCAATGTAACAATTTTACATATAAAATAAAAATAAGCTAAACTTAAATTACATATTAAAACGAAATAAATACATTAGTTATACACAAATATATGTAAATCAATGTATATGTAAAAACAAGAACTTTAAAATTAAAATATTTTTATTCCCATACCTTATAAATATTGTATTCTTCTTGATATAAAATCATTAATTTAATTGAATATTTATATAAATATAAAATAATAACAATTATTTAAATTTAAAAAAAATATTTAACTTAAAACACTGATATATTCAAGAAATACACTAATATTATGAAAATGTTTGACTTCAAAAACAATTGCTATTTGTTTGGTTGTCAACACATTTATGTCAAAACAAACTACTTTTAAAATAAATAAATAAAATAATATAAATTTATTGAATTAAATATTATTATTATTGATATATTGAAAGACTTGTGTTTATTACCTGAGAATTGCAAGTAAATCGTTATTTTATTGAATTACATTAAATCACGAAATTGTTATTAACTTATGTTATAGTGTTTGTTACTTTAGATAAGAATTATAAACTAACAATAAATGATATACTAATAAAAATATACATAAATATTACAACAAACAGTATTATTGAAAATTTTTTGTTAAAAAATAACTGTTTGTGATTATAATGTTTTCAATTTGTGTATATCTTTGATATGTTATATGTAATGATATAACAGTGTCGTGTTTGTAACTTATGTCAAGTCATGCCCATTACCATCAAATTCATTACTCAAAAGGTAAATATTAATACTTTTTATTGTAACCAAATGTCTGGTTATTAACTATAATAGAGTTATTATAGTACTTATATAATGTTATAATTTATTTTGTATATATTTACTTACCATAGGATAACATACTATAGTATATTATAGTAACTTACTTTATGTTGAATTGTTTGTTTTGCTTTTAATTAAGTTTAAAATGGTTTTGTTAATAAATACCATTTATTTATTACTAGAATTTACTACTTATATTGTTATAATATTTAGATTATGCAAAAAAGTTTTTAATTAATTTTTGTTACATTTATTATTCATTTATAGCGTATAATATTGTAAATGTTATTTACAAAAAACTATTTAATACAAATTTTAATAAGTATTCCTATAAATTTTAATTAATTTTAAATAAATAAAAAACAGCTATTTTTATATTAAAAAATTAATTAAAAAATAATATGTTATATATAATTATATCTAATGAATATTTTGTAAAAATATATAAAATGGATAAATACAATATATTTAGTAAATTAATATAAAACTTTAAACTTATTACTAGAAAGTGTGTTCACTGCACAACATATATGCCATACTGTGAGCCGACAAACAATTAACGCTATAAATGATAGCATATATTAATCAATAGAAGTCGCTTTTGTTCGCAATATTCAACAAATCTTTGCAAACTTAAGCAAAACTTCAAAACAATTTCAATATTTAATTGTAGTTTAATTGTAAAACTATACAGAGTATTGTTATATAATTTTTTTACTATATTACACAAATTTTTATATTATAATATTTAACTTATTTTATGATAACAATTTCTAAAATCTAAAATGGTATATGTAAAACTTAAAATAAATTTACAATACATTATTTTTTAATGTTTAAATACAATTTTATAAAACTTATTAATTATTTAACTTTATTATTATAATTTCTATTATTAGTCATAATAAAAATACATTTAAAATATTTTAATATAATTTTTATTTAATGCATTAAAATTATGAATTATATAGAGCTAAGAATGAAACATTTTATAAATTGACTGCTTTAATATAGATCTAATAAAATGTTATAAATTTTTAATTTTTAAAATTAATTAAAGCTGTTTTTGCATTTAAATTAAAAAAGTAGTTATTGTAATTTAATATATCTTAGATAGGAAAAATTAATTAACAAAATGTAAATTTATATCAACAAAAAAAGTTTAGTTGTTATATAATAAAATCAATGGATTAATTAATAATATACATTAAACATCATATAATATATGTAATAATGAAATACCTTTTTCTGTAGTAACAAAATTCCAGATATTAATTGAAAACTTTTGATTAATTTGTTTGAAAGATATTAAATTAAATTTCTCGAGTATTTAATAGTATATGTAAAACAAAATGAAAATTTTTATTATTGTTTATAAAACTAAAAATTTATATAATTTTTTATGCTTATATTAGCGGTGATTGAATGGCATAAAAGTGTATAACAAGAATAATACTAAATTCCGGTTATTTTAATAAAATAATCAGTTGTTATGTGAGGAGTGACTATAATATAGCAAATATTATTTTAATAATATTTTTATAATTTTTATGAATTACTAAATAAAATATAGTATATTTATAAAAGATTTATAAGTTTTACCGCAAATAATTTTCATTAAATTGAAAGTTTTGTTTATGTTTAACAAATACGTACTCCCATTTGTTATTTAATTGTTATATAATTCATTCAAATTAATATTATTAAATATATTATTAGACATTATAAAATATAATAATAAATAGTCAAATGCTAATTAATATTATTAGAAAATATCAAAATATGTAATATAATAATAATAAAAAATAGATTTAATTTATACAAATTTAATTTAATTATAAAAATTTAAAATATAATACATTGACGAAATTGATATTATATATAAATATATATATATATTTATTTATTTTAATCCATATAATTATTCGCCTAATATACTTTTCAAATTAAATTGTTTATATAATATTAACAAATTTAAAATAATTTACTTTTATATAATAAACTAATAATTATTTTTTTTTAATAATATATAATAATTGAACCAAAAAATAAATTTAACAAAACAAATAAATTTTATAAATTTTAATTTGTTTTAATGGAAATGTAGCGCAAATGAGTACATCATTGCATTTAATGAATTCATTACACGAACCAATTTTGTATTTTTTTTTAATTTTATAAATATTTTTCAATTCATATTATAATAAAAGTTATTGTTTATAAGATATAATTTTATTATTTATAATATTAAGTAAAATAATATTATTATATGTCAAGTATTTTCTCATAAATTTTAAATATAAATATTTACTAAAAACTGAATAATTAAATATTAAAAAAAATATATTTTTTGTCAAATCATTTTATTATTTTACAAATTCAAAGCATAATGCAATTAAATGACAAATTATTCTTGAAAATTAATTTTAATTACAATACCGTCTAATTGAAAATTCTGTTTATATAGTTATTTTGTTAAAATTTTAATCTTTAAATCTTTGAATTATATATTTTTTAAATTATAAATAAATTTAATTAATTATTTCAAAATACAACAAATGAATTTAATCAAAAAGAAAATAATAATAATAACATAAATATATTATATTTATAAAAAAAATTAGTAAAATATAAATATGTAATAATGTAAGCATCAGGAAATAATTTAAATTTGAAATAAATGATTTTTGCAATTTCAACAAATATTTTTATGATTAAAATATGTTTTCACTTTTTAGTGAAAATGACTTTAAAATGATTTGCGTTTTACTGTTAACACATTGAATGACTTATATTTACAGAAAGTTATTAAAAATTAATTATCATTTTTATTACTTAATATAAATTTTTATTTAATTTATTCGTAATCAATGTTTGTGTGAAATTTATTTTTAATATCACTAAAAATATCAAAACATCTTATTATTGTTTAAAATAATAAAAATTATTTATAATTGAATACATTAAATATGATTTGTTTAACATTAATTTATTTGTATTATTTATCACAACTGTTATCGTCATCAATCTCTCCCTCTTCTCTATCGATTTCATCATTTGAATGATAACTATGTGAGTCATTTGAATTGGTGTCGACATCAGAGTCTTGTTTAATATCTTTAACTTTACTATTCTTATCATTTTTATCGTCACTTTTTTCATAGTCATAACTATCACTAAAGTTAGATTTGTCTCCAATGTCTACATACTTAACCCCCGATCCTATATTTTCTTCACTATTATTGCTGTCATATGTTTGTGAATCTTCATTGAGGACATACTCATGCTTTGAATGTCCAGAGTTTTGATTATCATTAGTTGATTGACCACTTTGAGCGTTGGTGTCATCAATGGGTTGATCTTCGTTGTGGGCCTTCATGAGTGATCGTATAGCTCTGGCCCTAAACTCCAGTTCCAATATTTGCATTTGTGTCTTAGCAAACAAGTTTCTCCAGCCCTCGCCCTGTCTTTCATCATCGGTCATGACTTCATCGTCAGATGACGACTCTAACGACAATTCATTTGCCTGAACCTCTGCGTCCTTCACTTCTTTTATCAATTTCTAGTTACCATAAGAAACATCAATAAAAATCAATTAATTTTTCAAATTAAAAAATTAATTATTTAACAAAAAGTAAAATTTCGTTGTTTTGTTGTTAAAAACAATTTTATTGTAGAAAAAGCCCAAAAATATTTTTAAAATATAAGTCATAATATTTATTTTATTAGAAAACTTAAGTTTCAGTCACTATATTATTGTCGACCACTCCTTAAAGGGTGAGTCAAAATGAAATTCAGTTAATCTATAGGATAGTAAAAGAGTAATTATAAAATTATAATGTAATAAGTTTTGTTGATTTATTTAAACACCACTCAATAAACATAATTTAATAACAAACTGTAATAAAATACAACTAATAAATAGTTATTATAAATTTAGTCAAATATCAAATCAAATTAAAGTCAATTGAAAGTGATTACAATGAAACAGTAGTAAAGTGAATGAAGCGATTAAATTGAAAATACAATTGTTTTACATGTCTTTACAGCACTTTTCTGACCCTTTTCTTTGTCTCCTATTGTGTCCTAAAATGTGCTCAAATTAATTGGTTAAAGATATGGCTCATTGATTATCATAATTGTCTTCATTAAACTTATATTAAAAGGACTTTTCTGACAATAAGGGAATGGGATCTGACATCAGTAACATTATACAGCACTGTCTATACGTATATATTGTATCACATTTTGTTTTACCATTAAGAATCTTATTGTTAATTAATTGCACAATTAAAGTACTACTATTTATACCATAAGTACAATAAAAACAAAAACTACTACTACTAAGTAATAGTATCACTAAATTTATGCTTATATTTTTTCTAATTAATTTTAAACATAGTAATAATTATGTAAAATAATTTTATTTCAATAAAAAAATAAAATAATCATTAAATTCAAAGTTGAATATTGATTATCAATTTATATGAAACCTAAGTATGAAATTTAAATTTAGTTCATGTATTATTTGAGTTTTGAAAACAAGTAATAATTGTTAAAAATAATTTAAAAGCATAAATATCTTACTTTTTGTTGAAGTTGTTCACTGCCTAAGAAATCAGAGTATTCATTGTCATCAACTAAAAGTTGAATACTATCACCACTTGTTTTGTCACCAATTTTTTGCGATCTTGTTCTGTCATTATTATCATCTAATAAACAATAAATAAATAAAAATATCTACTTTTCTTAAGACTTAAGACTTAAAAGTTAAAAATTATATCATGTATTTGTGATTCAAATATAGTAATTCAATAAACGTGTTAACGTGTGGTTTATCTATCAGTGTGTTTGCAGTTATAATAAAACTGACGACTCGTAAACCTATATATATATTTAAAAGTCTAATTAAACCAACAATTAATATAAATCGCCGGAAAGGAAAATAGTTAAACAAAGTAAATATTAGACTTTTTTGTATTTCAAATAAAATAATGAATTAAATGAGAGACATAAAGAAAAAAGTTTAAGATTTTTTTTGACGAGTCATTCAATTTACTAAAAATACTCAAAAATTGAATGCAAATAATAAACAGTAAAAATTATGATATAATATATTCAAAAATTTCAGTTGAGGTTAAATGTATAGACGAGGAAATATTTAATTCAACTATTTTTTCCACAATTATTACTACTATTTCTCTAATTCACTATTTATTATAATTATTAATAAGCACTAATGTATACTATTTAGTATTATACCTGTATTATAATATATAGTAATTTAGGGCGTTTTTAAAGCTTATTTTGTTTTGTTTATGTTTTGTATATGAATGATATTTTTAGACAATATATTTGTTGAAATGATTTATTTTGATTATGACATTATAGCAGACTTACGGTTGACATCCGACTCACTATAGTTTTCAGGATCATTGCCGCCACAGATGTACTTTATTTTTGGTTTCGACATTATATTCAACTCTTCTAAACACATTTCCTTCAATTGATTCACCGAAAACTCCTAATCGATTAATTCAATGATAAATAGCAACAAATGATACGTAAGTTTATATATTTTTGATTATTTTAATTAATTTTGAAAAAAGTGAAATACTTTGAGTAATTCGGGAGTGAATGCCTTTAACTCCATAACCGTAAAAACAGAGAACAATTCATCGATAAGTTTAAGTCTGTGATCCGTTAGGTCCGAGAAAACAGTGATTTGTTTGGTTAGATCCAACTCATCACAAGTCCAATCACTTTTCATATACTATATATATATATGAAAGACAAACAAACCATATGTGAGTTGAGATTGCAATTAGAAAACTAAACAATAGGTCTCTGAATATTAAGCCATTAAATATAATATATAACTGTATTTAATGTGTCATTTAAGGCTCGCTTAAGATTGTTAGCCGGATCTCAATTATAGACCGTTGCAAATGACATACGTTATGTCTTCAGTTTATATATTATATATGTTATGCCATAAATCGTCTCCAATAATACAGTAATACTAATTATGAGCAAAATGTTTGAGCAATGCTTTTGTGAACTGAAATGTCCGGAAAAAAAGTTGAGATTAGAGAGTAATAAAAGGCAAAAAAGTTTACTAAACAATAATAGTTAGTATATTTGATATTAACTACAAAAAAAATCTATAATAACAGACATTTGTGTCACTTTTAAAGATACAAAACTATATGAATAAAACTGTTTTATGTACTCAAACATTATAAACATTATATAATTTTTTTGCTGCAAATCATCTCTCAGTCAGTCAGTCATCATTCAGGCATCACATGCATTGCCACTCGTAATGGCACTCATATCACACCAGTCTTTCCAAAACATTAAACAGCTTCCAGTGTCCACTTCTTTACCAACAAATACATATCAATTCTCTCTCTCTCTCTCTCTCTCTCTCTCTCTCTCTCTCTCTCTCTCTCTTTATTCACTCAATTTTCTATTATTTCATTTATTAAAATTTATTATTTATTTTTATCATTTATCTAAAATAGCTATAAATTAAATAAATATTTTTAAAATTACATACAGATAACTGATTTAATAATTAATTCCATTAAAATTATTTTAAATATCTGCAAAACAATAAATTTAAATATTATACAAATAACTATATATTCAAAATGTTATTATTTAGTTTAATAGCTTTAAAAATTGATAACAATATAAGTATTGCAATAATTAAAATTAATTTATACGATTTATTTTTTAAAATAAAGTAAAATATATATATACATAAATATATTTTGATTGAACTAAAACTAGTGTTGGCAATAAAATGAAATTTATAAAATAATAGAGACAATTCTAGAAAGTTTCTAAAAAAATATATATTTATGGCATCACCATTAATTTTGTTGTCTCGATATTTGTTATTTTGTAACAATACATTGTTTTTATAAGTAATAATTTAATATTATTATTATTATTTTAATTATTAATTAAAGTAAAAAATTAATAAATTTAATTGTATTAAACTATGATATATATAATAAAATGATGAATAAAACTTTACAAAACTGATATTATTAAATAATTATAATTATTTTATATATAGGTATCCCATTTTGTACTAAATTTATATAAAGTTGTATAATATTATATGTATAGAATTATATCTCATTAATACAGTATTATCTATAGATATGGAGATCCTATAGTATAACAATAAAGTTAAATTTCTATAGAAATTTATTCCTAGGAAATTTTCTAGAAACTTTCAATTTGCCCATCTCTAACTAAAACACAAATATTATTTTAAAATAATCATTTTAAGTTAATTTAGATAAATACTTATTTCTCTAAATAAAAAAATCAGAAATGTCATAATTCGTAATTTAAGACATATATATATAGAATATAGAATACATATATATATATAATTAAAATTAATGGCAACTAATTATTTAGAAGTTTTGAGTTTTAGAGTATATATAACTTATTAACAAAATGAACATAAATAACAAAAAATGTGTGTAAAATATAACGGTAAAGATTATAGTTTTAAGTATTAATAAGTCATTTTAAAATCCTTTATTAACAATTTTTTAAACAAAAAAATCTGATATTTTAATTAAGAAAACATTTTATTTTTACTGAATTTTGTTATTTTTAAGGATTACATCAAATAAAAGTATATTAAATTGAACGCACAGTCCGTATATCTAAGTGTCAACAATAATGAGTTGTGTTTTCAATAATCTTATGATTAGTGAAGACACGGCTGTATTGCCAAACAAATGCTTATAATATACTCAAATTAATACAAATTTTATTTTTATCACTAAATATAACTTTTATGATATAAACTGTGTTTATATATTAATTGTGTTTCTATTTATTGAAAAAACATCCATTTCTTTAACTAAATAAAATCACTATTCAATCTCTATTTTTCTTTCTTTCTTTCTTTCTCTCTGTAACACATAAACAGACACACACTTTAAAATATTGAATTTTAAATAAGACGTGAAACTTGAAAAAATCAATATTTAAATTTTTGATTTATGTGACTCGTTATATTAAAAAGTGCTAAAAAACAAATTTGTATATAAAAAGCATCGCTTTGTTTAGAGAAAAAGATGAGTTAGTAAATGATTAAATAACTGAGTGTTTGTATGTATGTATGTGTGTGTGTGTGTGTGTGTGTGTGTGAGAGAGAGAGAGAGAGAGAGAGAGAAAGGAGAGAAAGAAATAAGTAAAGTAAAACAAATTTATATATTAATAAAAATTTGAATTAATAAAAAAATCTAAATTATAAATTTATTAAAAATTGATTTTTTTAAATTCAAAAGTAAAATTAAAAAATATAAATCTTAAAATCTAAGTTTTTATTCATGAATTTTTTATGTATATATATATATTAAATATTAATATAACATAAGGTTTGTCTAAAAATACAGTAATCAATGAATGAAATATAACTTAAGTTTGAATGATTGAGATTTATGATCAAAGTTTTTCTTTTGTTAGGCAATACTCATGACATAAGTTTACTAAATATATGATAAATAATAATATTGTTAACAATTTTATGTAACAAAGTCTCCAAACACTAAAAGTCTTTTAATAGAAAATAATAAAAACAGAGAGAAAATAATAATTAGTTGTCTATAAGCTATAAGAGAAAGTTAGATATAACTAGTGTTATGTATTTGATATGAAATACTTGTATATCACCTCATGTGCTGATGAGGCATATATAGCACCCCTTCGTAAATGTTTGGCAACTCTTCTCGATTTCTTCTGTTGATGGTTTGCATCAGTAGTGTTGGCAGTAGTGGTACTGTTGTCTGAACTCATGGGTGCTCTCTTGCAATCACTGCTGACTAATGGATCCAACGATCGTTTCATTATTAAGTTTATATTATATGATAGACTGCTTTCTTCTTATGCTTTATGTAGCGGTCAGTTGATAGTCAACTCCTTGTGAAGCAATTATTTTTTTGCATTCAATCTGTTCGTTAATTTAGTCACTATTGCCGTCCCTTTTGTCTGGATGTGCAACTGTGCGGTCTATCAATCAATATATAAATACTATAATTAAGAAGATATACTGTCACTCGTTTCAAATAACTGTTTGTCATGTTAGCCAACCATCAACTCTACTCTATTTCTTACTCTCTCTCTCTCTCTCTCTCTCTCTCACTCACTCACTCACTCATTCATTCACTCACTCACTCACTCACTCACTTACTCATTCTCATTGTGTGTATATATATATATTGCAATAGCGATATCGTAATCAACAAAAATAAGTCAAATAAGAAAAACAAATCCAAACTACTCTAATGTATCTCTCATTTGATATAGTCTTGTATAAAGTTGAAGTATAGGAGTAGTGATGCGATACATCAGTATATATTGTATAAAAATTATATAAATTTATAACTTATACATGTACAATGTATATGTATATGTATATGTATATGTATATGTATATGTATATGTATATGTATATGTATATGTATATGTATATGTATATGTATATGTATATGTATATGTATATGTATATGTATATGTATATGTATATGTATATGTATATGTATATGTATATGTATATGTGTGAGCTGAAGATTTTAATTAAATTTTTTTAATAACTATTTTATGACAAAATTGTAAATTTGATATAAAAGGATAATTAGAACAAAGGAATGCTATAATAATTGAAAAACTAATTTAAATGTTGAGTTATATAACAATGAATTAACTAATTATGAATAGATATTTTCCTTTTTTGCTGTTATCTTCTAAAATAACTTATTAAGTGATAGACTTAAAACATGAAAAGTATTGATTGAATGTTTGGTATATCATAATTGCAAAATAGGTATTTAATTTAAAACACTATTTTATAGAATAACAATAATATTAAATACAATTTGTTTGTTTATAATTCACTTTTCAAATGTCGCACAAAAACAATTTGTAATGATTTACATATATTTCAGTAAACATTAATTTGTTTATTTCTGAGGTGTCTTTAGATCATAATTTTCAAGAGTCCTATCACTATAACAATAAAAGTCTGATTACTTTAGACTCGTCAAGTGATATATTATTATACTATACAACTCCTTCACGTTTAGAGTAAAAACTATATACTATATAATACTATTAATATATATAAATATACGGTATATAAATTTATACATAATATGATGTATATATTGAAAAATTGCTTTTAGTCACTAAAAACTCACTAAAAAACTAATTCATAAATTATTCTCAAAGCGAATACTAATTAAGTTTTCAAACTCTCTCTCCCTTTAAGTATAGTATATATAAAATAGTATATATGTATAAACTCACACTCAATCTTAATATCAAATTACATCATGAGATGAAAAAAGTTTTAAAAAGTTTTTTATATTAAAACATTACAATATATTTATAAATATAAAATATATGCATATATTAATCTCTCACTCTCAAAGCACATCATTAGCATTAACAGTAGAGAATATACTATTAAATAATATTTTATATGTTTTTATATATAAATGATTTCACTTTGTGGTGAAAAAGAGGATCATTATATATACTAATCGATTTAATAAAACTAACTGTATGTATATGTATAAAAGTGTCAATGCTATGCAAAACTACATATGAGTTATCAAACATTTAGTCTTAAAATAATTTTCCCTCTAATCTAAAGCAAACTAATTTAAAACTTTTTGACAAAACGTTAATAATATTACATGAAAACTAAAACACAACAACAAGTCTTCTAAAAATCGTAAAAATATAGCAACAATTGTGTATTTTAATAAATAACACAAAAATCAGTAATTAACAGATAACAGTTTTTATATTATTTTTTGACCACTCACTTCATTTGATAAACAGTTAATATTAAAAAACAATATATTAATATTTAATATTAAATAAAAAATTTAAAAAGTATACTAATAATCGACAAGATATAACTGAATTTGAGTTTAATTTAGAAATACGATATAAAACTTAATCATTTATACGTTATTTTACAGTACTGTAACTAAGTTTGTTATTTTTTTCCTAATTCAATGTAAATTAATAAAAAGTAATATGTATTTAATAGTAAAAATATTGATATATTATTATTTAACTATAACTTAATTCTATAAATTGATATTTTATGTATATAATATATATATATATATATATATAATATTGATATTACTGGACTATCAATATATACAGTATATAATTTATATATAAAATAAATTTACATTATGTAGTCCATAATAATTGTTAACTAAGACTGTCGTAAAAATTTGGGGCACGTATTGAATGATTGTGTCATAAAAGCACATACACTCTATGTTTTAATGTTTGGTTATTTTTGATGACTTTAATCGTTAAAATATTCATTTTTGAACATTTTATTTCATACTTTCATTATTTGCAAACTTTATTATTATTATATATCATTACAAACCATATAAAGATTTAGTTTTACACTAGTCTAACATTTTTAATATGTAATATATAAACAATGTTTTATATTATATTAACGTTTTATCAAATCATTTGCTCTCAAAATTTCTCTCTTTTATACATTTTTAATGATTATTTCATTTAAACAATAAAAACTAGAAAAACATTCATTAGTTTGCGAGACACACATTATTTTACAAAACGACGGGAAATGAAATTTTTTGCTATTTAATATATATATATATATATATTTTAACAATAAAAATAAATATAAAAACTAAACGCAAATGACTTAAAAATACATTTATGTGTCCATACCTTATACTTTAAAATGAATGCTATAATAAATGTCGTAAAGCAAACAACTATTGAGATAAAAGCAAATAGAGTTCACATAACTGTTATATAAAATATGTAAAATTTCTACTACAGTATTAGATTCATTAGAAAATGTGTAAATTAAAATTTTTACTAATATTTTCCTATATTCTTTAAAATAACAAAATATATTAAAAGTGATTCATATCGTAAAATATAAAAAACTTATATATTTTTAATGTTTGGTTATCTATTTTGATGAACACATTAAAATCCTCGTTAAACATAAAACATTTTATGTTATATAAGAAATTATCACAAAAAAAAAACTAATGACAAATAAATAGTTGTCATAAAATAATGATTAGTATTTGTGGGCGAATTCATCTAAAATTTATCTTATCTTTAAATGTAAAAAATGATTTCTCTATCTCTTTTCAAATACGAAAGTAAAACTCGAAAACATTGTGTATTAACTATAGCTTAAATGATATACTCTTTTAATATTAATACATAATTTTACTAAAATCAAAATTACAATAATAATAATTTTAATAAATTTTTCTAATCTATGTTAATAATCAACAAAATGTTCAATTTAAACTTATAATACTCATAATTGCATTTATATTAAAAATATAAAGTTAAAAAAATATATTCAATTTTAAACACTTTGTTTATATTATTATTATTTACATTATAAAAACAAAATTTTTGTATAAATTCATGACATTATAAAAAATTATTATTATATACTATACTTTAACATATACATTTAAATTTAAAAATATTTTTTTATTATACAATTGCAAATATACAATATAACTCGCAAAGTATTTAATTGTAACATAAAAATGCTAAATAACAATATAGATGAATACAAAAATATAATAACACAAAAAGTCTAATTAATAACATTATAATAAGTTATATTATTTATTCTATAATTAAATATAAATTAAGTCTAAAAATACTCTTTTGATAAAAAAATAATTTTAATCAATAATTTAAAAAAATAATATTTAAATTTACATATATATTTATAAAATTAAAATAATTTTAATATTGAAATGTAAGAACCGATATCTACTATATTTACGGTATACGTTGTTTTGTAATTTGATTGCAGTCCCAAATGAAATATATTATCCTAATATATTACAGTATCTAAATATATATATATACACATACAGGTACATTACTTAATTATATTAATATGTCTTCAAAATTAGAAACTTGTTTTGTTTGTATGAAAAACCTTACATAATATAAGTGTCATAACATAGCTATATCTGTTGTATAAACCAATCAAAACAGTCATTTAATTAAGAAAAGTTTTTTGACAAATATTTTCTGAATATTTTCCATAAAAATAATTAAAAAATGTACTCAATTATATGTATAAAAAATATATAAAATTATCAAAATATTTATATAAAAGTTTATATCAAAGTTTTTTCAAGTGTTTGCAAATATACTATATATATATATATACTGTATATATAAATATAATTAGGTAGAAATATTTACAGCTATAAAAATCAATGTAATATTATTAATAAGGGAGTGAGTCCTCATTTGTCGATTGCTTTTTAGTTAAACTATAATTTAATTAACTTTATATTCATTTTTTTCATCGCAATAAAATTATTTGTGCAAATCATATATGTGTTTGTTTAATGTTTTTAAATAAAATAAGACAAAAAATTGACAAAAGTTTTGCAATAAATTTATACTATTTTGTAATTATATTTTAATATCAAATAATTATAAGAATATCATCCATAAGTTATTTTTTATAATTTTAATTATTAGCTAATAATATATAAGTAATATACAATTAAAAGTGTCCTAAATTATTGAATTAATTTATTAAATAACTACAAATAATTAATAATTATAATAATAATAATTATTTTCCATAATCTTTACCCAATAATTTATAAAGTATCATCACCATTTTTAAACAAATTGTATTTTTTGCAAAAATGTAATTAAGACTTTTGACAGTATCTTAAATTATTTATTATTATAAATTATTATTAATAAATTTTAAAAACTAAATTAAATGATATTCTGTTAGTCCACTAATAGTGATATATGGTTAATAAGAAACGACTTTTTATTCTAATTTTTCAATCTTTTTATGGGTTTTTTTTCAAACATTTTGCAGTACATTGTGATCAAAAAATTATTACAATTATTTTTTATTAAAACTATAGTTTAACAAATCATTTATTAATTTTTAAAATAAATGTTAATTTATATACAGT